CAGGAATATTTCATTTATGTCTAGCCTTTCTACATATAAAAACACAGCTCATAAACACGTTATCAGATAAAGGAAGGCATCCAAATTTGATCGTATATGACCCCAACTCCAGTACATTTCACACAACTAGATAAGTCCTAAAAATGTAGGATCTGAAAACAGAGAACAACATAACCTAAGAGACAGACAGTAGCAGAATAATACATATATATTGACAAATTAAGTTTCAGTGTCTCTTTAAAATTTAGGGGTTGACACTACATTCATATTTTTTTTATTTTTTATTTTTTTTTTTAGACAGAACACAACGTAACGTCTTATCATGAGAGTATAATATGAATTCATTATCAATATTAATTAATTTATGAAGTAACATTCTGTTTGATATCCAGGTACACTAGGTATGTGATCTGGACATAATGGACAAGTTCTCTCATTCTACTAAAAGTAATGGTTTTATTTCGGTTATAAATTAAGCAAGTTAGCGTCGCCGCTACAAAATGCTCACACCTAACCGAATCTTTCATTAGCTTGTTTCCTCCTGTAATATGTTAACCTACAGAATGACATATAGCATGCTGCAAGCTATCTTACACTAACACACAAGCGAACAATTTAGTTTTATGTTGTTTGTTTTATTGTTTAACGTCCTACCAACAGTCATAGTCATTGAAGGGTGGTCTTGCTATGTATGTGAGGTGAGTGAATGTGCTGACTGTATGCGTTTGCCAGAGGCAGCAATATGCTCACGTAAGCCTCCTTGTGATACTGCGGAATTGACGCTGAATTTATAGTGTATCACACTGAAGTATATCGAAAGCTCTGAGAGAGGCACCCATACGGTAACATTATTCTGAAACCTAGTAAACCAGTCATTACACCACCACACTGCTGAGCGTGTCTACGGACGTAGCCAAAAGCAGTGTGGTCTATCTACCTTTTTCATTTGTTTTCTGTCTTAAATATCACCTTACAGAGAAAGTTCACAATTGATTTATTATCAAGATGTTCACCCACAACTCCTAGTAATCATTACAGAATAAAGAAACGACTGTACAATGTAATACAATAATTGTTTCGGTCATACCTGAAGTTATTTTCCACAGTTATTTTTGAGCAATGGTTATTGATTGAATTTAAATAAAAAATCTACGGAAGGACCTTTTTCTTTCTTCAGTCTTTTTTTATCTCCAGAGATGGAAGGCTATATATACACGTCGTGTTGTTATAAATATAACAGTAGGCGTTGTATCTACATTAGTAATAACTTCTGTCTGTTGGGATAGATTCTTTCAGTTTCTTCCACGAGTTAAGAATGTCCTTCCCGAATAAATTGTTATTTTTAACAAAGGGTTAAAATGTATTCGATTCAATAATAGTAAAAATTATATTGTCAACAGAGGAAAGCATGAAACGCACCTACCTCAAAGTCACAGCATACTCATACAAGACGGCGACTCTCACTCTACGAACGTGACATAATTTAATATCCGTTCATTTATTGGGTTGAGTCAGTGAACTGTTGTGTGGTATATAGTTATTTAGTCATAAGATACACTTAGATTGGAAAACAGCAGTCAGTCTACTAGGTCCACTATATCATCCAACTATTCGGGTAGTTCTCTTCATTCAGACCTCTGAAAAAATACTTTTAAAATTTAGAGTTGTCGGTGGTGTCGAAGTAACTAAATGTTTTGAACAGACCAAATGAAGAAGGCATATTAAATAAGGTTATTTTCATAGCAGATACATTTTCTCTTCACAAAATGTGTAAAGATATTGTTGTAGATGTAGTATCTCAATATCTAATTCTAAGTTTATGGTTCTGCATTCCATATGGCGAAAAATGCATTCGTTATCATTGCATCTTTCACGGGTGTTCTTTTCGTAGCGTAATTGATCAATTTAACAAATGGAATATCATTTTATTTTTACTGAAATGTATATTCACGGTCGCAGGTACGAACGTTGATAAAACAAATGACTAAACCTCTCACCTTTATCAATGCTTTGCGTTATGTCGACTCCAGGATACAACACGGTTATGTCGACTCCAGAATACAACACGGTTATGTCGACTCCAGGATACAACACGGTTATGTCGACTCCAGGATACAACACGGTTATGTCGACTCCAGGATACAACACGGTATTTTGATACTCTATTAGTGATTATCTCATTTCTGCAGAAATAATTGTCTGCAAATTGGAAAATGACTGAAATTTGGCCATTTTATCTTTTTTATATAGAAAACTTCACCTTAAGATACAGAGAATCGCGGTGAATATTGCACATATTTCTATTCACTTATTTCACAAGAAAACCGTCGTTGTTACTTTTTTAGTACATTTTATTTCGTTGAAAAATACATTTTTACTGAAATGTTATTTTAATGCAGAATTTATTTTTTTTATTTTGCTGTTTGATTCTGAAATTTGGATTGTGCTGCAATAAACAACGTATTTTCAAAACATGTTTTTGGCCTTCTTTCTTTAACTTGAAATTTGGCTCTGACGCTGATAGTTGGATACAACTAGAGTTATCTGCCTTACAAGAGCTCTTTCCTGGTGTGATGGCGGCAAATATGTATGTCAAAACGCCTTCGAGATTTAAAAAGCGTATTTACCGATATTAGAGAATGACAGTTTGTCTTGATGACTTAATATCAAAGATAGGAAGACAGGTAACAATGTAGAATTACCTTTTAATTTTTTGTATTGTAATATGTACAACTCACCGATTGATATATATTTAGTTTATGGTTATTAGTGCACAACCCATATCAGTTCGGGAAAACTCGTGGTTTCGGCAACGTTGTTGAATTCAGCAATATCCGAGAAATCGGCGCGAGTTTGCGAATTTTATAACGTTGCGAATTCTGATATGGGCAAATATAACGAAATTAATACCAGTTTTTAAACATTTATCGTATGAAGAGCGCTTAGAGAGACTGGACCTACCTACCTTAAAACATCGCAGGATGAGGGGAGACATGATTAACATCTTCAAAGTCATAAACAATAAATATGATACAAGAGTGACGAAAAACCTATTCCAGATGGCATTTACCACTACAACAAGGGGACACTCCAAGAAATTGTATAAGAAACATTCTCGATTAGACGTCAGAAAACATTTCTTTAGTCAAAGAACTATAAATGTATGGAACAGTTTACTTCAACATGTCGTTGGTGCTAATACAGTTAAACAGTTCGAAATTTTATTTGATGAACACTGGAAAGAAAATCGATATTTTATTTTGAAGTCATGAAATAACACCAGAAGTATTTATCTTTAAGAATATTATTTATTGTAAATTCTTTTACAGATATGGACACAGAGGCTTATTCCCAGTCTGCATCCATCATATATCCTAATAAAATCCTAATAATTTTCTTATAAATGAAAACATTGTAAATATTACCCCTTCCCATAGTTACTGCTTTGAGTAAATTAGTTAATCAAATGCAGGATCGTTTTGAAATAGAAGCACGTGAAGCTCTTTCAAACATTTGCCATGAAAAAGGACGTCAGTATTTTTGTATTTTTATAAATGAAAACATTGTAAATATTACCCCTTCCCATAGTTACTGCTTTGAGTAAATTAGTTAATCAAATGCAGGATCGTTTTGAAATAGAAGCAAGTGAAGCTCTTTCAAACATTTGCCATGAAAAAGGACGTCAGTATTTTTGTCATGGCTCAGTAACCATCGTAACATTCTAGATGTTTAAACAAAATTGAATAATTTAGTTGTTTCCACTTCGTAAGAGTCGCAAACTTTTCACATATCCATCGCATATCAACTGCTTATAGTGTTGCTAAAAATAGAGGGTAATCTCTGTATCACTATCATCAACAGATTGGAACAATCATATTTGTGTGGATGCATTGGAAGTCTAACTCATTACACAGAGAATAAAAAATGTAAACTGTGACCCATTAGTGTACAAGTCATGGTTTTTTTTAAATAACCAGACAAGATGGAATTTTCTCATTCAAAGGCAGAGAAATTTATATGAAATTCTACATTAATTTGCAAACAAAAAATTCGAATATATTTGGGGTGTATAATACAGGCTGATAACAAAATAGGCCCATTGGAGGATCCTCTGGTATTAGCTTTTGTGTTTGTTCACTAAGCGTGAAGTCACAGAAGCCTGCTCTCATGACAGATTGCAATTGTTTTGATATACCTGTGCCCAATTCACTTCTAAGCTGTAGTTAGTGTGAACTCCACACTGACTGACTTGACCACAGTCATTTTGTTGTCCAGTGAGAAATGAATCTCATTTTCATAACAAAAACAACACTTACAAATAAAAAAGACGTGCAGTAAAAATTACATGAATCAGATGGAAAATTATTAAGATTTTTAATGCTTTTGATTGAAGAATGTTCTTCACATTTCTGGCTGAAAGTGGTCTACAATATTGGATGTTATTTCCATTGTAAACAGCTACTGTTTTATTTGTCACAAATGTTTTCAAGATCAATGAAATTTATCAAGCTTTTTACCAATATTTATTTCTAAAAGATTATGTACCTTTGCAGGAGACTGGTGTATAAACACAACATAGCTAATTAAATTGAATCTCTGTGCTCTAGCTTTACAAAGAGATATCTATGCATGTAGGTATGTTCCCTATCCCTATATCATACATCCTAGAATAAATATTGTTACATGGTTTGTGGATAGATAAATCTGTCAGACTAGCATGGAAAATACACTTGTGTAAAATGGAATTAGAACTCTGAAATTGTGTATTGTTACTACATGTATTCTGTTTTACTCAGTTCACTGATATTTTTTTGTATGAAAACATTGATGTTAAGTAAAAATTTAAAGATATTGACCTTCAATTTTGTGACGTGATTCCTGTGGAAAAAATTGAGTAAATAATTTTTCTTAGATTTAGGAATATTATTGAATGAAATGAAAACCAGACTTTCTAACTGAAGTACTGTAACAATTTATTAATTTTTTACTACAGCTGTGATATCCAGATGTTGATCATATAAGCTTCATCCACTGTCAAACAAAATGACCAGCTGGCCTAATCAGGAAGTAACTATGACGAAAAATGAAACTTCCACTACTGAAATAGCAAAGGACGAATTGAGCAAAACATCAGAAGATTTCTTCCCAACAAGTACCTGGGGCTTAGATTACTATTTCATGATTTATAACAAGATGTACATAGCAGATGTTGTACAAATGAAGGAGAATATCGTGTTTCCAGGTGAGACTGCAGTGTTCCCACTGGAAAGCAGATTTAGGAGTATATTTGATGGATTTACTTACTCTTGTTGGATATGCAAACAAATAACATTTATTTGCTTCCCAATTTCCAAGGATGTTTTACATATGTAGTTTAGATATACGCTCACATTGGCATGATTGTAAGAGGTGATGAAACATCAAAACAATTTACTTGGATCCTTTTTATTGAAATTGATTCAATCTTGATTGAACATTACCATTTTTTTTATTCTTTTTTGTGCCTGCCTTTGTCCATCCATCCATTATAAATATATTTATACAAAGATTTTCTCTCATAGTTTCCAACTGATTCCTATAAAACAATTTTCGTGAGAAACATTTTTAGATGACTTTGTTTCATAGTTATTTGCCCTTTGTTCTTTTTCTGTACATCCTCTCCCTCAGTATTTCAGTAATGGATTTCAAGATTACTAGGCGTTAGAATAATGACATGTTGTTAGTTCCTCACTGAACATTTTTTAGTTGCTTATTCAATGATTAGTGATGCTGATGTAATTGCTCCAGTGTTGACCTTGGTATTGGTGGCATCCTACCTTAAAATGTTGATATTTTTAACAAGTGTTTTCTAGCAGTACTGGATCATCACTATTCAGAGATGTTGGTTAATTGAAATTACTATCAATATGCCCAGCCCTATTTTAACATGAATTGTGGTGAATTAGATGTGCATGTTTTGATTATCGTTTGGTATTGATGTGAAATTGAAGACAACATCTAAAGGCAAGCTATACTGCTCTCAAACACTTCTTGTTATATTTTGATCATTTTTGATTTATGAATTTTATGAGATTTGATAAAGAATGTTATTTACTTTTTTCTGTGGCTAGCACATATTGATGCACCTGGTAGTACCCTGGATTTATTACTGTATGACTGGCCATCCAATCTAATATAGAAATAAACCACAGTACCAGATCAGGATGTTTTTTCCTGGTTCTAGGATTTCATTGTGTCGCTACTCTTTTGACAGGGACCTACCTGTATCGGGATCATCCCCTGTTCAAGGTAGACATCATAGGTGTGGTCGTTAAAGTGGAACAGAATCACACCTGTTTTACCTATACAGGTAAGGTAGCTTGTCAGTAACTCAACAGGTTAAGTAACTTGTCGGTAACTAGACATGTAGGGAAGCTTGTCAGTGACTAGACAGGTAAAGTAACTTGTCAGTAACTGGACAGGTAAGATAACTTACCAATAACTAAACAGGTAATGTAACTTGTCAGCAGGTAAAGTGACTTGCCAGTAACTTGACAGGTAAGGTAACTCGTCAATAACTAAACGGGTAAAATAACTTTTCAGTAACTTTGCAGGTAAAGTGACTCATCAGTTCCTCAACAGGTAAAGTGACTCATCAGTTCCTCAATGGGTAAAGTGACTCATCAGTTCCTCAACGGGTAAAGTGACTCATCAGTTCCTCAACAGGTTAAGTGACTCATCAGTTCTTCAGCAGGTAAAGTAACTCATCAGTTCCTCAACAGGTAAAGTGACTCATCAGTTCCTCAACAGGTAAAGTAACTCATCAGTTCCTCAACATGTAAAGTAACTCATCAGTTCCTCAACAGGTAAATTGACTCATCAGAACCTCACCAGGTGAAGTGACTTGCAGTAACTTGACAGATAAAGTAACTTGTCTGTAACTTTCAAGGTAAAGTTAACTCGTCAGTAACTTGACAGGTAAGATAACTTGTCAATAACTAAACAGGTAAAATGACTTGTCAGTAACTAAACAGGTAAAATGACTTGCAGTAACTTGATAGATAAAGTAATGTGTCAATTACTGGACAGGTAAGGTAGCTTGTCATTATGTGGACAGGTAAGTTACTTGTTAGTAATTTTACAGGTCAGATAACTTGTCGGTTACTGGACAGGTGAAGCAATTCATTATACTGGCCAACCCTCCCTATTTGTAAGGGAGACTAAGACTTTTGACTCTTAATCATAATATATTCATCAAGTGAATTTACTAATCTATTCTTATATTTCAATATCATTAACAGGTGTTATTTCTTTACTGGAGGGTATATATGTACACATTTTAATTGTGCTTCCATTTTTGAGCACAGAAAATGTCCCCCATGAAATTATAAAAGGTGTGCTTTAGCTTGCTTTGTTTGCCATGAAACAGGTCAATTATTGAAGAGTTATTACTCTTTGTTTTAATTTTTTTTACCTATTTGTTAAATCTTTATTGGCATTTGTGGCATGTAATTGTAGTTTTTAAATAGGATTGAGATAGAAAATTGTTGTGTTATTTTGAAAATTTATAAAGTTTGATACAACCATGTTCGTCGCTCTTGCATGTGATGAATAAAGGGTGTATATATTTTTTTTTTAATTTTCAGTTTTGATATAATAATTTGTAATCTGATTGTACTTGTTTTTCAGTTGATGATGGGACTGGTGTAATTCCATGTTGCTGCTGGAAAAAAGATCTATTCAATATGTCAGGTGTGTACAGAACACTGAGGACACTTAACACATGTTTTGATGGAAAGATGGAAGAAACGGTTTGAGAGTAGTAATGATTTTTAACCATGTCTTAAGATGAAAAGAAAAGTATTTCCTTACCCTGGACAGATAAATTCACGCTTTTTACTGGTATGAGATTTCCTTGTCTCATCCTAGGTCTGAGACAGGGGGAATCCTGTTTCAGGACAATAAGATGTCACAGTAACAATTCATTGATCATGCTAATGATGGAAAGCATTCCAACAACAAAACCACAAGTATGTAATAAAATCAGCAGGGTAAGAGAAAAACAATCCTTCACCTCCTTGACCTTGACCTCTTAATAATGAAAGTAAAATTGACCTTCATACTATTGTCTTTTTTCAGAGCCTGGGTCTGATTGGTCAGAACTTCCATCTGATCTGCAAGGGCTGGCATCTCGAATTACTGACAATAAAATACACGAGGGTTACGCACTCGGAGATCTGATACAAGTACGAGGGAAGGTGAAGGTGTTTAGAGATCAGCGAGAGGTAGTCGCCCTGTACCACAGTATCCTTACAACAAGTAAAATTCTGTAATATTCCGGTTCAAAATTACATGAAAAATATTGATAGCCAACTTAAATATTTTTAAGCTGGCTATCTGGAGGAAACCGGAGTACCTGGGGAAAACCAATCTCCATACATTTTCACTTTTGTGCAATAAAACAAAGCATGGACACTTATGTAAAATGCACATCCTTTACCACTGTCAGCAGAATCAAAAGACTTCCTTCTTACTTACCTTGACTGGCTGTGTAGCACGACTTGATGATCCCATGGAAGAAGTAAGGCGATTGGCTGAATTGCCTAAACTCTATCAACAAAATTATGACCAACCTTTCCAACTCCCAAGCCAAGTGGCCCAGGTGATAAATTGCAACCTACAGGAAACAGCCACTGGAACTTTGTCAAAGGTAATTACTTGATAAACAAGAAGAAAAGAAAATGCAAAATTTTTACTGAGAAGATTTGTTAGGAAAAAATATCACAGATTTTAGAAATACCTATTGTTGTTTTCAAATTTAGTCACATAGTTTGAAAGCCTGCAGTGATTATTGAATGTGTCCATGTGTGTAGACTTGTTATTAACAGTAACTGTGTTAATTAAACTCTAAGCTATAACCACTAATAACCAAATCAATCGTAACAGTTATGTACCAGTAAATGATATTTAACCCACCTTCTGTCTTCGTATTGGATCTGTTAAACTCTTCTTCATAAAACGTTTGATCTCTTGTAATTTTACTGCAATTTATCTGTGATAATTTCATTTATCACATAATCTGCCTTTTATTCAGTAAATTTGTCCATGTAGTATTTTGTATGTGTCTCTAGTGTTATTTACCCTAGAGCAGTTTTCATTGGCTGGCCCAGTCAGAAATCGATTGTGATGTCTTAATATTGACTAGGATGCTATGCTAGGAATTGAAAATTGACACAATATTGTTATCTTTAACTTTTGACTGAAAACTTTTAAAAATGTGTATTTGCCAAGTTAGGTGAAAAAAAATGTATATTAGATTTGTTTTCATTTCATGTGAGATTTTATGAAACTTATCTCAAAGTTGTAACTTTTGTTAACATTGGCTTACAAAAATAAGAAATTATCAGGCTTTTAATGCCAATTCTGGGATTCAAACCTTGGACGGAGAGGTGAAAGGGGAGGGCATTACCACTGGGCCACCCCACCCACCAAATAGCTATACATGTAATGGCCTACTGGACACCTATATATTCAGGATGTGACATGAACTAGAGTTACATCCCAGTCAGTTATTTCCTTTTGTGCAAGTGGTGTTAAACCTAGGGGATGAAGTAACTAGTGTTCTGAAGTTGTACAGATGGAATTATATCTTAATGCAGGAAAGCCTGGTGCTGAAAGCCAAGAAGGTGATCACAGAATTTTTTCAGGAGAATCAGACAAGGGAGATAACTGTTGATGTTCTGCTCAAGGAACTTGAGTCCAAGGTTAGTTATGTTATGTTTGTTGTTGTTAACAATATCTTAAGTCATCAGCACTTAGATTTACTGGGAACATGTTATATCCAAAGCAATCAATTACTTTTTCCTGCGCATCTAAAATAAAAACACATAAACGGAAATATCTTCTGACCTCATACTATTGACCAACACGATTGGTACACAATGTATTTGGTGATAGAATACAGTACATTTATATTTGTTGATAAAGTCATATTTTACTTTGATATGTTGAAAAATATTATACACTTTCCTGATATCATTCATAAAACATATAAGAAAAAGAAACAACATCTGTTTCAGGAAAAAAAAAAAATCTTCATTCAGAATTTCAGGTATTCAAAATATGCTTGAAATTTGAAGAATGAAAATAGCAATGAAATGTTGAATTATTTCAAAATTTGTACAATTTTTGTTTAAGTAATATATCAAAAAAATATATGTAGTTTTTTTGGAAGTTTTGATCAGGGATCATTAAGCATTAAGGACAAAACAGAAACCTGCTGTGATTATAATAAGAAGAAAATGATGATTCCATGCTCTAAACTAAATTAACATGTAAATATTGATAATTAATGGTATTTTCTGCAGGTATTTTATTGAGCAGTTGCATGATATTTCGCTTCTTAACATTGTAATATGAAAATATCATAATTGAAATTACTATAGAATTAACAACATTATTTCCAAAGGACTGCATTTTGTACATGGAATTTTGATATGGTAAAAGGTAGATACTTTAGAGACAAACCTATTCACTATCAAAAAGCAGATATTTCATCAATGTGAACTATTTTTTCAAGACAGTAGTGTGACGTGCTTATAGTACTTTAGTGATCTGGTTGTTGCCTCCTGTGGGCTGTACAAAGGTTCGTAGCCAAGGAGTCGTCTCCCCTTGCTACCGTTAAAGTACAGGTCCATGTTTATGTAGCGTACGCTACAGGAGGGCGTCGGGAGATTGATCTTGATAAGAGGGGACAGTAAATGTAGCACCAACTCCATTAGGTACAAACTATAGTACACGGGGCCACATGGCAAGCGATACGATGTCAGACTGTAGTTACGACTTTTCAAATATGGCTGCATAAACAGGAAAGAGTTTTGTACTGGAGTGTCATCCGGTATGTAGAAAATCTCCCCGCCCAAGTTGTGGTTTAATCTCAAGGCCCGGTCACCACATATAAATGCCCAGGCAGTGTTTCCTACATAGACCTGCTGGAACTTGGACTGACCGTTCCCAACCTGGACAAGCCGGCCTCTGTTTGAAGCAGCTGACCGTAAGCCACTAGTAACATAGAAAGGGTCTTCCTCCCCATACATAACATTAGCTCGGAGTGACATTGTCCACAGGATCTTACCTAAAATGTAAAACATATCTTTATATTTTTAATATCTTCACAAAACGTAAGGTCACACAGTTTAATTTTAATTTTCTTGTGTAGTTCTATTGATATCCTATATTAACTGATACATTTTCACCTGTCAGGTGAGGGCAAGTTGAGGTTTTTGGATTCGATATGTATTTTAAAACCGTATAATGTTGAATTTCATTCCCAAAATCATTATTTTGATATCTATCACACTAGGATGTGCCTTGATGTGTTTACATAGCTATTGTAGTGACACTGTTCTACATTAGAGCATTTCAATTTTTTGTACAAAATCATATGTAAAGTTAAATTTATCAACTTATCTACTATAATGTATTTGAAATAGATAACAGCAGAACTTTCATTTTCTTTTCATTGTTCATTTCTGCAATCTAATTTGATCACAATTGACATCTCCAAAGTAGGCCAAGACAAATTAATTCATTGTGAATAATTCCCTCTGTGTATCCAGAAAAATATGTGATATGAGCGTGTGAATGACCTGTGGTCAAGTGAATTAAAACCACAATTAGTAAAGTTAGATTATTCAACATTGGGTCAAACAAATTAACCAAATCCTAGGTAAAGAAAGTTTGCTCAGTTGAATCAACCTCTGATAAAGACAGTATGAACAACATATCATAAGCTCTGTTAGAAATATACCATTTTCACATTTCTTGGCATTGGCTTTGAGAACCAGACATTCTGCCTCATACTTTGTGGCGGGGTAACCTGGGAATAGAAACTGTTTTGGCACATGCGTGGTTGTCTCCCTTCCGTCCCGAATGTCATCAAAACCCACTACCACATCAACTGTGCTACAGAAGATCAACCTCTCTACTCCATTGATTAGACAACTCTCCACTATGTTTTGGGTACCTGTAATAGTGACACCTCTCTAAAAGGACCACCTTTATATTAACAGGAATTTCATAGAAAGGTTTTCTTTCATATTACCAGAAATTTGATATGTATGGTGGCATTATATTAACAAGAATTTTATAAAGAAAAAAAACATTTATAGCACTAGTAATTTTATATTATCAGGAAATATAATGACATTGTATTGAACATTATAGAAAAGATATGTTTTCACAGAGCAACAACAATACGTTGAAGTTTCTTTCCCATTGAATTTCTTCGTAGAATTTGATTATTCCAACAGAAATTGAGTTAAAATGAACAACAAAATTTTACTTTTATAGAGTACATATTTTACCTTGAACATTAATCTTCTGCATACCATCAATGTCTGGAAATGTTCCGTAACTGACCATTCCAGCCACATGAAGGACAGTGTTCACTCCACGACAAGCCTGCTGGACGGTCTGCAAGTCACAGATATTTCCTAGTATACTGGTCAGAGGTTTTAGCTCCTTATGACCTAGAGCAACACAAATTATAACATAAAGTGTTAACAACAGATCAAGGTCAGCACAAGTGTACTTGTTTAATTTAAATTTCATTGCTTAGAAAGTTTAAAAAGTTTTCTCCACCATGATGTTTTAATGCTGTAACACATTTATATTGTAATAACCCATGGCCAACCAATGAAAATTTTGACTCATAGTCAGGGGTGGGCTTATTACTGCTTCTGCTGGACAATGAAATAGCAATACAGTGAAACTCTGTTAATATCATGGTCTATTTGTCCCTGGGGTTGATAATAAGTGGAACATGACATTTACAGTTGACATGTTGTTTCCGTATGTCAAAACCAGGAAGTTAAGTTTCTGATGTGCTAAACTGATTTGTTTCTAACAGAAATTGTTTTAAAACAAGAAATGTGTAATTTGATTCGTTTCCCCATAAGAACAGATTTTTCTTAACTTTTATTTGTTTATTCTTTGAAATATGTAAACTGCAGTTAGAAATCCACTGAACAATGGTAAATATGGGTGGTCTTATTACTGGTAAACGACAAATATTGAACAATAACAAAATGTACAAAAATTAATGTTAGATCCCTCAATTGTCCCCTGCAGTGTACATAATTCTCAAAATCATTATGGTACCCTGAGATATATTTTAAGGTGTGTACAATATACATGAATTAATTTTGGTTCCGTAAGGTTTATTTGCTTGGTTTTTCACCCCAGGAATAACAAGAGTCATTTTGATTTGTGGACTCCTTGATAGTAGGTGATGGTTATTTAACTGAACAACATAGGGGAGGCCCATCACATCCCATCCAGATCAATTAAAGTAAAGTGTCTTTCCACTGGAAACAACCATGACAACACAATCCATCTGTTTCTTGGCTTCCTAGAAAACAAAACCTGTTGTGGGAAGGGAGAGTCCAACCACACGCCTGGGATCATCACCTGATATTACATAGGTCAACACTCTACAGAATGGGCTATTGTGACCCCTGGTCACTCTGGTGTCTTTAATAAACTTGTTTTATCTGTCAGTTTTTAGGAAATTCCTGAATTACCTAGCTTGTTGGAGTATGGACGTATGTCCAATACTCGGATTTCTGAGACGTGGTCTGCCTTCTCCTGTAAATGGCCTATTATATGTTGTCCCAGGAACCCTGCTCCTCCAGTAACCATGACAACATCTCCTGTAGATGATCTTTGGACATCTGTAGGTGTGGTCATGCTGATGTGGTGTTCTGGCGATTTCTGTCTGTTGTATAAAGCCCTGAATTTATAAGAAATGTTGATGTCGAAAAAAGGACTTGTTCCTCAAATGTATGCATTTTTTACATTAAAATATGCTTTTGTTTATGAGTAAGATTTTTGGAATTTTACTGACAGCATGAACGAAAAAAAATATCATTTTTCTTAGAGGTCAAGAAAACAGATTGAGGTTTTAATTGGCCTTTATTATTTTTGAAGTATTCTATTTTCTTCTATAGCAAGATGAAAATACAACTCCTCAAAAAATAAGAATATTTGCAGTATTAATCAGCAGTGAATACTGATTGTTGTGATTTGAATTCTCCACAAAAAAATGCTACTGTGAAATATTTTATTTTGGTGGCATTCAAATTTTGTCATTTTACAAAAACATGTACAGTGTACTTTTATTGGCACTTTTTTCATCATAGAAATATCTTTCTAAATCCACTTATACTGTAGGTGGTATCAATATTTTTCTGGTTACCCGTTTGTGTTACCACAAATTCAGTGAAAACAACCCACTCTAAAAGTAAGGATTTCACAGTAGTTCCACAACTCCATTGTCTAAAACTATTTTCATGATAAGAAATCATGATGTTTCTCAAATGCAATTCACCGATAAATTTCAGACTAGAACAAACACAACACATATAATGTAAATATTTCTCCCTAAACTTTACTCATAAGCGTATCCCTGCCAAATATACATTGTTACAAATTCCTGAATTGATGAAGTCACAATGTTTACGACACAGCCTTTTTTCATGAACAGGTTGAAGAGAATCGCATTGTCGAATCTCAAGTCATTTTCATCAAAAAAGTGTGATAAACATATGAAAAAAGTTGAAAGTGTAGAATACTTACTCGAAAATACATATGTGTGCTATGTGTTTGACTTTTAACACCTTAACTGATGGAATTTCCTTTTGGAGAGACCAGCAGCTTGTCAGTCCTACATTCTGTTTATGACAGCAGTTTGATGTTGTATACTTGAATTTTTAACATATTTCTAGCATCCGAACAGCATCCCAAGCCTTTTGGAAACAAATTTCAGTAGATTTTTGTAACTGAAGACATTTTCTTACATGTTGCTATGGCCTTTGTCACAAATGCATATACAAGTAATACAAAAGAGTTCCAATCGTGTATAGGGAAATTAACATCAATGTCAAATTTTCAGAAGCGAACCATAAAGCCTATATCACTGTTGTGTACCCATTAAGGAATGGTCTTTTCAAGATGGTGGATGTAGGCAGCGACAAATGTAGGAGTTCATTTTAAGATAAAAATTCACTGGTTTATGGATACAATCTGACTGGGACCACGCGAAACTCAGAAATACTCGAAGTTTGTACTACACTATGTTTGGTTCAGTTATTTTCATAGATAATTGTTAGCCCTTTGCAAAGTTGAATGAACTCCAATAACCTCTGCTTGTAAGCGATATATTATTTAAGCTCATCGCCTTATGATTTTCACAAAAATGAAGGAAAACAATCTTGTTTAGAATATGGACTGGTCCTCAGAAATAAATAGCAACTTTGACAGAAAAGTTACGTATTAGTTCCAAAAACACGAGTAAATATATGACAGCGTCTTCCTCCCTATTGGATTTATTTCATAATATGGCCAAATTACCAAAATATAATTTACTCCTTAAAGATTCATTCCAAAATGATTAATTTTCTACCCAAAATGTGATTAAAAGGCTCTATCCTAAATAAGTGAAGAAAAAGCCCTGATAGAAAAGTTATCAGTTTAAAATTTTTTCTACAATTAACGTATGCTTGAAAGTAGGGCATTACATAGAGTCTCGACATTCTAAAAGGAAATGTTGTTTTATGTACAAAATAAGAACAAAGTCTTGATGCTTCATTTTACCAAATAAATTTTTTGTAAACTAAGTCGAAATTTTAAAATATTTTACCTCTTTGATATATTTTGATAAAAAAGATTTTGTAGATAGCCAAAAGTGAAAAAAATGTAGATTCATTTTTCATCTTTGTTTGAAATAGAAAGTAATTCAGGTAAATTATCATGAAATTTCATCAGTGAAGAAAATAATTGTGAAAAACAGATGTATTTTCACTTTAAATTCATCATAATTGTATGACTGAAGTCACCTCATGATGTCATGATGACATGCTTTTAGATTCAGCCTTGATTACACATGACATCATTTTTGACGTGGAGATACGACATGGTTGTATCTATATGGCATACAAGTCCAAAAATGTTTCTCTTCAATCATATAAGAACCAAACTCATTTAAGTTGCTTAATGAAAGAAAAGTCCACACAAACACAAAATTACCTGAGAAGTAAGCTGCGATGTTTTCCTCTCCCTGTCCAAGTAGTCAGTCTATTCCTCATCTTGTCTTCATTTAAGTTTGGCACTAGGGGGCACCACATGCATGTTTGTTCCAGATACTTAATGTGAGGCCAAATGTAGTGAAATATAAGGGAAATGTGTCCTAGTGTGGTCTGTATAGTTAAACCAGTGTCAAACAGACTTTAGACAACACCAGGCCAGATGAAGGTATTACGAGACCAAGTGTAGTTAATTGCTGGTCAATAGAGATTAATGCAAGATCATGTATGGTTACTAAGTTTGCAAGAATGTGAAATTTAAGAAACAACCCATTGATTTGTTTTAGCCTCAGAAATAATCCCCATGTTTCTTTTTTCTTCTTATGGAAACTGGCCTTTCCTATTTGGTATTCATTTTTTAGGAGATAAATGTAGTTAGATAAAATTTGATGTTTGTCTTTGCTATTTGGTTGAAAATTCAGGTTTGGAAATTGATAAAATATTTGTGTGGTCAAATTATATGTATTAAAGTTATGACAGTTTTTAAGTAACATTTTTTTAATAATTTAGTTCATTACCTTTTCGTTTCCTCTTAGGCAATGAATAATAGTTTGAAAATTTGTGTGTGTGTCATTTAAAATGTGTAGATTTGATCAGCTGATTAGGTTTAAATGTAATGTCAAATCTCTCCTGTGACACAGATGTTAACAACAACAGGAATTAGTCAAGGAGTAATCCCTTTCATGCTGTCTTTCCGATATCAACACCTGAGCCTAGAGTTACCATGGCAACACAGAGCAGTCAACACAAAGTATTGATAAAATCAATGTGATTATTAGGGATTTTGATGGCAACCATTTTAAATGATAGTGAATTTGTAACATGCATGTACATAAAATTTGTTCTTGATGCTCTTAGTTGGTGTTTTGTCTACTTTAAAATTGTAACAGCCAAAATTTTTGAATTTATTTTGCTGTAAGCCAAGAGGGTAGGGCGGCTTTCATCTTGTTTCCTACTCAAAATCAGGGGATGAACTAACAGAACAGAAATAAGCATTGGTTATTAATTTTTTGAACAGTTGCTGTCTGCTGGTGAGCAGAGGGCGCAGTGTGTAGAGGAGGCATTGACACGTTTACAGAATGAAGGAAAGGTGTGCGCTCGACGGGAGCCTCAACACTATGTGATAGAGGTCAGTGTATGCTCTGTCATTTATCCCTTGATGAAGCCCACCCTCCTTCTTTGAACTTTGGTGCATTAGAAGAATGTACCGTAAAAACCCACGTAATGTCCGCATCTGTGTAATGTCCGCACCCCTTTTTTGACACAAAAATCTGGGGAAAAAACCCACCTTCCATGTAATGTCCGCGGGTAAAAAATGCAAATTGAAGCTGCCGATTTCATTTCACGTACGCTAATGTCGTAATGGCCGAGAGCATGTCGCATTGTGTATAACTTACAGGTACCATTCAAGAATTCACTTAATTGTTTATACCAACAGTTATTCTCCATAATGGTACAGTAAGCGTACCAGTATGACGAGTCCTCATTTCGATAATTGGTGTTTTGATAAGGGTTAGCCCAGCAGTGTTGTAAACAGCTTGGGTCGTCTCCTCACCTCGAGTGTGAGTGAGTGACAGCGTGTGATTAGCCAATTAACGATAACTATACAGTAACATGACCCGCCCATGACCCACGGCGCCACTGACCCTACTGACACACCATCAGACGACGAGAACGCCATTTATTACAACGACCAGACAGAGGAAGACAACTTCAACGCCGAGGAGTTCTTCCACGGTGACGACGACGACTTCTGGGGTTTCGAGAAACGCTATTAAACCGGCCTGCTATGTATTAAGACTTTCTGATAAACGATCCATAATCAATAAAACGTCTGATTATTTATTTTATGTAATATTCTTGTACATGTTATTTATTGTTATTTTGTAAATAAAATGTAGAATGAAAATGTTGTGTTATTTGGTATATGCTCATGGGTATGCTTTTTCAATGGGGAAAGGGGAATAACTCTAACTTTATTCATGTCAAACAAAATGGCTTCCTATTACGAAGGACGACACAATACGAACCTGTAACGAGAAATTGGAAGGAATTAAACATGGAAACTATAATAAATAATCATAAATAATCATGTTTGGTTGAGGAAACATAGGAAAAACCATAGAACAATAATATCAGGTATGCTTGGCTTGTGTATGTGTAGTTAAGCCCAACCCCCGTGTTTGGCCCCCTATAACTGTTCCAGGTCGGGAGCATATCTTCTATGGGAGAAAATTGACCAAGGAATTGTTACAATCATCAAATAAAGCCGTTGTCTTGGTTATGATATTAAAAAATAATTTCAGGCAGTTAGATGATAAAAATATAATTTAAATATCATTTGAATTTATAAAGAATATCATTGAAATGTATACAAATTCAGACATACTATGAAATAGAAATAATTTTAAGACCTTTACACCTCATGTTTCTTTAAAATCCCAGGCTTTTTGGCCTTATTTTTTCAGAAACAAAATTTATTTTGCAGGTTGAAATGAATAGTCAGTGTTTAAACTTTATTCCTTGAGAGTTTCCCAATATAATCTCTTGATGTGCATCAGACCAAAGTTGACAGGATTGAGGTGATGGTATAGTTTCTAGGTCACTTGGTCTGAAGGTTAAGCCATTGTTGGGTGTCTGTTAACTTTTCAATAAAAATTGTTACTAGTCATGAATGACCATATTTGATCAGAAACATCCTTCGGGGGAATGTACTACAATGCAAATCTGTATAAATGGTGGGTCTCAACCTCTGGGACAGGGTGCAATGGGGAAATGAAGCAAATTCTTGAAAATCCTAAAGGACTGGATTTTTGACCAAATTTGGTCTGAAGCATTCTTGGGTGAAGAGGAATCAATTTTGTAAAAATCAATAGGTTTTGGCCCCCTTGGATGGGAGGGGCCAGGCCCAACAGAGGAAATAAAGCAAATTCTTAGAAATCCTACTCCTCCTGTAAAAATGAATGAATTTTGTCGAAATTTTGTCTGAGGCATTCTTGGGTTTAGGGAAATCAATGTTGTATGACGTCTCAGCTCCCTGGGGCCTGAGGGGCAAGGACCAATAGGGAAAATAGAATAAATTCTTTAAAATCCTTCTCCTCCTGAAGAAATGATTAGATTTTGCTTAAATTTGTTCTGAAGTTGGGTGGAGTCAATTTTACGTAAAAAAAATTGGTCTTGTCCCCTAGGGGAGGGAGGGACTTGGCTCAATAGGGGATGTAGCGTGAAATTAAAGAAAAATTCTTTTTCTTCTGTAGAAATGCTTGAATTTTATCCCATTTTGGTCTGAAACAAGCTTGGCTGTATGAAAATCAACTGTATAAATAGTTGATCTTAAATCCAAGGGGAAACAGTGTGGGGTTTGGTCAGGAAGGGGTATTAGGAGAAGTGGAAAAAAAAATTTAAAAAATATTCTTCCTTTCAAGAAATATCTGGGTTCTGCCCTAATTTGGTCTGAAGCATACTTGAATGAATTGGAATAAATTTGGTATAATCAGTGAGACTTAGGTCTCTGGGGCGGAAATAGCTGAAATAGAAGAAACTCTCTAAAATCCTCCTTTTGTGGAAATGTCTAGATTCTGTCTCATTTCAGTCTGAAGCATAACTAGTTGAAACGAACCTAATACTGTATCAACCAGGAGTCTGACATCAGAGATGTGGGCCCCAATAGGGGAAAATATATGTTTTTAAAAATCCTTTCTTCTGTGCAAGGATATTGTCCAAGGTTGGTCTGAAGCAATTTCTATGAGTGATGAATCTGACTTCTATTTGGCCCCAATTCACAGAAATTCTTTGTGAAATGACCAAATAGCTGAATAATCCAGGTGAGCAATGCAAGGCCCTTTTGGCCTCTTGTTTAACCAATATTTGCATGAGTGATCGTCTGACCTTTCTTCTCTTTTATTTCTGTCACAGGTACTCACCAACTCTCAATCAGCATTAGAAAAGACTTTGTTACAAATTCTAGCCAAGAAATGTTCAATTGCAAAACGTAAGTACAAAACCATGGCATCTATTTATTGGTTATACTTCACAACTGTTGATTGAATTTGGTGGCGTTGGGATTTGTTTTATTTTAATTTGTTTTTAAACTTTGTATTGTTTTCATTTTTTCTCTGATTTTGTGGATTTTTTAAAGGATGAAACCAATGATTTAACAATAGAAATAACATAACAATATATAAATTGTATGTAAATATAATTTTTGGAATCTATATACATGTAGATTCTATACATATTTCAACATTAAAATTGGAAAAGAGATGTATGAAAATTTTTACAATTGCGTTTTTGTTGTCTCATTGTAGATGCTGATAAAGGTTGTCATTTTCTAAATTTACATAAAGAAGCTTGTCAAACTTTCCAGTATGGTAAGGTCAAGGTCAATGCTGTTCGTTACTGTCTTACACGACTGGAAGAGTGCAGTGATATCATCAGGACGACTGAAGATAGATATAGGACAATGTTCACTTAAGGTCATTTTTCAAATTCATCATTGCTGCCCTTGTAGTCGTCAAATTCAAACATGACAAGCATTTTTGCCATGGTCAGCTTCTGATTAATGTTATCTTGTAACTTATCAAAATCTATTGTTGTCATTCATCGAAATGGTCAGATCTTCCCAAAAGAAATTCAAATTTCCTCCACAGCCTGTTAAATAATTGTAGTTGTACAGTTTTTAGTCCCAAGCTTCCTCTCCCTCTTTGTCTTCAGATGTGTTTGGGATAAATACAGATGTATCGAAAGAGTCCTCACATAGAGGCAGGGCCACCTTCAGCATTTCTGTAGCTTGGTCTAAGGCTGGCCCTCCAGCAATAAGTTGCTGTGCTGAAACTATATGGACCTTGACAAAGTCCAGGTGTGCTTTGGTGAGGGCTTTGAAAGATTAGATTGTGTTGTAGCCTCCTTTCTTGTATTATCAGCTGTGACGTAAGGCTTTATGGTGTAATTTGGGTGTTTATTCTTTTCTGTCTCAAGTAGTCGTTGTTTCTACTGTAAGATCGTTTGAGTTTTACCCTGGTACCATGTCTTAAAAACTCATTGAATGGTATAGGCACGTCTGAGTATATTTTTGATGTTAGCATAAATCTTCCTGCAAGGTATACACAGTATAGTATTTATGGCGTCTTCTTCATCTTCACCATTATATTGTTATGTTGAGTCCCACTGGTTCTCTTCCGAATGTAGCCTGTTGCTGATGTTGTGTACATCTGTTGTCAGGGCGTTGATGATGATATCATCGATACTATGACCCGACATGATGAAATGTCCGGTGGCAGATTTGTCCACTTCCAGTATGTATTTCTTGTTGTGGGTGTTTGTCTAACATACAAGTATTTGTGTTAGCTCTCTGACAAGTAATGCTGCTACTTATACTGTGTTTCTTTTGTTGATTGGCCAGTTAAGTTTTTGGTGCATTTCATACGTTGACAAATTCTGCAGTTCTTTCTGTACAGGGCACTACCACTTATAGTGTCCACACCCAGGTTTATGTCACTAACTGAAATATCCTCGATAGGTTCGGGCTTGGTGCAGACCACTGACACAGTGTTACAAAGAAGCTGTTTATTACTGCAGCCTTGTCTGAGATTGTGTTTGTACTAATTAAAAAGTTCCTATCAGTAGATAAAGTTAGTTAAACCATGAGGTTTGTGCCATCGTTTGTTGGTTATAGCAGAGCATATCTTTGTGCGTTTCGTACTTCCTCAATGTCTTCCATATCACCTGTACAGGATACCGTTTGTATCGTTAATTTGATATCTGTACTAATGATAGGAAAATTACAAACATCCAGAGGTACCTTTGACCTTTGTACTCACAAAGACATTGAGGTGATGTATTGGTAAACTGAACATAGATTTAGGATATACATATTTCTTGTGGTGCAAATATGATGTTTTTGTTTATGAATAAGGACTGATGAAATAAAATTGTTTTATTCAATCTGAAATGTCATTCCGTTATTTATTTCTATCATCAATTTAACATCCATTGCTTCAGTACGTCTTTTTTAAGGAAACTTGCTTGGTCCAAGTTGGAAGAAAGCTTAATTAGTATTAGGAAAACTAATATCCAAGTGCTAAGAAAAATGGTGCAGCACTGAGAAAACTCTTTGTTACAGGTAAATCCTTAGAAAATAGTGTAGTTTTGTTCTCTATGACCTCATGGTTAAGGCCTTTGAGTTCAGAGTTGGGTCTAGAAAAAGCCCAGTCTTTAACTGACTCTTGGTCTTCTGAGTTGTCGTAAGTACCGTTACAGTCTAGTCCTGGAAAAACTCAGTCTAGTCATAAGGAATGTCAATTTAGTCCTAAGAACACTGATGGTCTGTGCCAAAACTCATTGTCAAGTGGATAGAAAATGGAAAATAGCTGATAAAAATCTCTAAGTCCTTAGAAAGCTCATGGTTTAGTCTTAAGAATGCTCATAGTCCTAAGAAAAATTAAAATTTATTCCTAAGAAAATGTGAAATCTAGTCCGAACAAAAATTCATGGTCTGGTCCTAAAAAAATATCACAGACTTGTCCCAAGAAAGCTTACAGTGCAGGCCTATGTAAGCAGAAAGTCTAATTCAAAGAAGGTTCACAAGTCTAGTTCTCAAAAAAAGCTCACGACTACATTACAAAAAATCCTCACAGTCTAGTCCTGAAAAACCTCATGGTGTAGACCTAAAAAAGCTCCTGGTCTAGTCATTTTCACCGTCTAGTCTTACATTTACATGTGTAGCTTTAAGTTAAATCCTTAGAAAGCTTATTCTAGTCCTTAAAAACATCAGTCTATTCCTAATAAACTTCAGTCTACATCCAGCCCAGTCCTAAAACAGTTAACACTTCAGTCTACAGCCAGCCCAGTCCTAAAACACTTGTCTACAGCCAGCCCAGTCCTATAGCACTTAAGTCTACAGCCAGCCGTCCTAAAACACTTCAGTCTACAGCCAGCCCAGTCCTAAAACACTTGTCTACAGCCAGCCCAGTCCTAAAACACTTGTCTACAGCCAGTCCAGTCCTAAAACACTTCAGTCTACATCCAGCCCAGTCCTAAAACAGTTAACACTTCAGTCTACAGCCAGCCCAGTCCTAAAACACTTCAGTCTACAGCCAGCCCAGTCCTAAAACACTTCAGTCCACAGCCAGCCCAGTCCTAAAACACTTCAGTCTACAGCCAGCCCAGTCCTAAAACACTTGTCTACAGCCAGACCAGTCCTAAAACACTTCAGTCTACAGCCAGCCCAGTCCTAAAACACTTCAGTCTACAGCCAGACCAGTCCTAAAACACTTCAGTCTACAGCCAGACCAGTCCTAAAACACTTCAGTCTACAGCCAGCCCAGTCCTAAAACAGTTAACACTTCAGTCTACAGCCAGCCCAGTCCTAAAATACTTCAGTCTACAGCCAGCCCAGTCCTATAATACTTCAGTGTACAGCCAGCCCAGTCCTAAAACAGTTAACACTTCAGTCTATAGCCAGCCCAGTCCTAAAATACTTCAGTCTACAGCCAGCCCAGTCCTAAAACACTTGTCTACAGCCAGTCCAGTCCTAAAACACTTCAGTCTACAGCCAGCCCAGTCCTAAAACAGTTAACACTTCAGTCTACAGTCAGCCCAGTCCTAAAACACTTGTCTACAGCCAGTCCAGTCCTAAAACACTTCAGTCTACAGCCAGCCCAGTCCTAAAACAGTTAACACTTCAGTCTACAGCCAGCCCAGTCCTAAAACACTTGTCTACAGCCAGCCCAGTCCTAAATCACTCCAGTCTACAGCCAGCCCAGTCCTATATCATGAATAATTTGGGTTTACGGTACTTCATATTCACACCATAGTGTTACTCCATAAGATGGTCACTGGATTAAAGATAGTCATTGTTTAGCAAAGTTAAAGGGTAAAAGTCACTCTTGAAAACGTTAAAAATAAAAAGCAAGTGTACAAGATATCTCATGAACCCCATAATAGATTAACTTCTCAATAATTTTAGATCAGAAGTGAATGCAAGTTTTTATGCCCCAGATCAAAAGATTGTGGTCATTGTGTGCAGTATGTTTGTTGTAAACCTTTTACCATGTCCAAAACTATTGTACTTTAAGAGGTAGGACTTTCATATTTTACATATGTGTTAATTGCGACAATCTGTCAATTTTATGAAGCATGTGTTGATGAGGATCTGTTGCTGGATTGTCTGGTTGAAAAAAGTCTTGAAATAAATCAAAACTTTATGTCATGAACTCAGTTGCAGTTCATCTCCTAACAAAACAAAACTAAATAAACAATTACCATCACCCAACTCTGGCCTTCCGTGCAATCCAAAACCTGCTAAAAACTGGTCTTAGTTTTGTAAGCAGGTTTTGGCGGGGTCTTGCGGATGTTACCTAGTGGAAGAAAATAATCGCATTTGTTTCGACTGTATTTTAAATACTCAAGATATGTTAAATATATGTTGCAAAACTGCTGAAAGGAAGCAGTAACTATTATAATCAGTTATATTTTCTATTCGGTAACCACAATATGCTGACGAAATTCAATAACACTCATAACTTCTTCATATTTATGGATTTTGTCTATCAATTCTACCTACGTCAGCAATCAAGAGAAAGTGTCATAAGTTATTCAGCTAGTAACAAATACAGTGGATAACAGTGACATATTTGCATGTAACAAACTTTTGTAAGAATTTTTATCAAATGTTTCAATTTGTTGTGTTTCACTTGTTCAATATTCATGTTTTATCAAATGTCCTGTAATTATGCAACAAATATATTATACATGTCTCAATATTTTTTTATCTATATGCTTCAACTACAAAACCTTTTGGCAGGGAGAAGGGTTATTTGTTCTACTTTGAAAGAAATCTTACTAAGAAGCTGTTTTCCATGATGCAGATGGTAGATTTGGTGAGGAGTAGGTAACTGTAACAAGTGTTGCCTATTTTTGACAGTAAAGTTGGAGCTCAATCCAACTCGTGAAACTTGAGAAGTTTGAAATAGGTGTTGCATAGGAGAACCATGATTGCACAATCACGTTTTAAAATGGCCTCCCTGGCTGCTGTCTTGAAGTTTGGACAAGGTAGAAAAATAACACTTTGTTGACTATTCCGCAATATTCTCATAAATATTTAACTCAATGGCACCAGTGGAACTTGAGAGGAAGTTTTTAATTTTTTTTTCAAAATGGCGGCCACCTTGGATTTGAGACATACCTGAAAAATAAAAACACTTAGTCAGTACCATCTCAGGATCACTTCATGCAAGTTTGAGCTCAATCCCTTGGTGGAACTTGAGAAGTTTGAAATGTCAAAAGTAAATGCATGGCGGATGACAACTTAGTGACGAAACATGATAGCATTAGGTCATCTGACAATAAGAAATTTTACTTCTCCAGCATACATTAATCAAATAGAGCCTAATTTAGAATCATACTAAGCCTACATCTTATTCACACTAGCCAGACATAATTGATATGCTGAATGATAATATATAAGAATGCACAGACTTCATTTAAACAAATGCGGCATGCCTCAGGATCCCACAGATTATCAACATAAAAGAAACAATGTTTAAAAAAAACTAATTAAACATATTTCAGTATTTACTGTAGTTTTTCTCCAACATTTAAGTTGTCCTGTGTAGAAAATTTTCAATTAAAACAATACTGTATTATACTGAAGCATGAATCTTGGTATCATTTGCAGGGTGAAAAGTCAATACTTGACAGGTTTGTATGTGTCTATACATGCATAAAGAATTCAGTTAAGCCTTTTAGAAATTTTCTTGAGGTTTTTGTGTACGTCATGAGATGAAATTGTTTTATTCTATTTAATGTGAAGCAGAATTTTGTAAGTAAATTGTGAAGTAAATGTTTCCAGAATGTAATTATTATTGATATGATTGCAAGTTAACTTGATTTCATGGAAAATTAATCGGAAGGGAATCTTACTATGTTAATGACTATAGTTATATTCAGAAAATACTTAATAATTCATATTCACATCACCGACCAATTTTTGAGCAATAATTAAGTATTAGCCAGATTCTACTGACAATTCTCATCTTTTACTATGGCATCAGTCCAGTTAAAACTGGGAATGGCTGTCAAAAAGCATTGTGACATCACAATAAAGAATTACCCTTTGCAATTATACAGTCGCCATATAAATTTGACTTTGTTGTGCCATTGTAATGGAAGGGCAGTGCACAACCAATAGAATTTAATGATCTATAATGTGATGTGATACAATTTACAAAATATTTGCTTTGTACCAAAATATATATATCATTAGTTGTATGAACAGTTAGTAAATCAATGAACGTGCTATTTCACAAAACAAAAATATAAGATTCTCTCCATAGGCCCTCCAACATTAGGTAGTGGGATGTTCAAAGAATTGATACTTCAAAACTTAATGTGTTGGTTTTGCTCTGTGCCTATTTAATTTTGAGACCGATCAGTGAAACATTTCATGCAATACACAGTGTTGTCTTACCAAGGGTGCAGTAACAGAGACATCATTTGTCTCCGTGTGTTGAAAGTCAGATGTCTGCAGGCAAATCTTTTAAGACTGTACATTAAGTATAAACTTCCAGATATTAACTGAACTACTGATGTTTAAGTTTAAAGAAACCTCTACTGAAGAAATTTGATAGGTTTAATTGTTTCCAGATTATTTTCAAATTCAAAACATAAATATTGGACTTGAGCTTGGTTAGATAAAGATTATGATAATACTAAGGTAGCTTTATATATGTGTTGGCCCTTTTTACAAATAGATTTTCTATTGCAATAGAACATGTATATGGTCCAAATCATCCACCTGTCCACCCATCTAAAGTCAGAGGAGCAGGGACCAATACTTTAGGGACAGTAAATGTAAACCTTTTCAAAATTTCTCTTCTGTTTGCAAAGCATACAAATGTTCACAAAAAATTGATGTGAGCAAGTCCTATAGACTCTCTGTATAACCTCATGATGTTAACACCTGTTGTCAGTCATATGGAAGGATGTGTATACGTTATTATTAATTCAATACATGGATTGTATAAGATTGCTATATATTCTCTAAACTGCAAATCAAGATATCCATCTGATATCTTCGCTTTTCCAAGAGGACCTTTCATTTTTCCATTTTAAATATTTCATTGCCAAATGAGTTCAGGCATACTAACTAGCTAGAGCTGATCCTGATCTGTGTATGTGGGCTCTTCTGACGTGTCCAAGGATTCCGAAATAATAAAGCAGATAAATATTAACATTGTAGACAATTGCGGGAATTGTTATGCTACGTCTTCAATTCCTGCCTGTAGTATATACTCTTGCGTTCAATACAGAAGATCTTTCATGTGCAGTCAAACAGTAAAACTATGACCTGATTTATGTCACGAAGTCTTGAAAATTAAACTGGCGAAAAATATAACGACTTGGTAATAGCCAGCGAAGATTCTAGGGAAAACATTAGACACCATATTGCCTAGTTGTATAAAATTAGGCATAACATTAATTTGGAAATAGCATAGCGTTGTAGTAAAAACATTACCACGGTCCTCAACAGATAATTCATTGTTGTCTAATACTTAACTGCATTTGGTTTCGAATATTCGCGGGCAGATCAATTTTGCATCCGGAAGTAAATGAGATGCGCAATCGCAGTAAAAACTAAAGAATGATATTTAAATTAAAACGAAACACAGAGAAAACAATATGAAATAAAATGTGCAAAATATTAATTTTTTACGTACATAATTACCTCATAAAAGATATATAATTTATATATATATATATATTAAAGATGGCATTTAGAAATATACAAAATAAAAAATATTACAAATAAAGCTTTCCGTATCATTTTGTTAAATAGTATCAACAACCAGCCCTACTTTCATTTTCGCCGCTGCTTCGATACGCTTTCTGGTTGAGGAAGTGACCCAGGAAGAGTCGAAGTAGAATCAAGGTTAGAATTTTGCTACATTTCTCTTTCTTGTTATTTGATATATGCATCTATATTTAAATAACTTTGGATTTAATTTAACTGGCATTTCGTGGTTGTTTGTTGCAATTAAAATTATGTAATTTTTGTACCTGGTTAGTGTATAACGATATAAGTCACTGAATTGATATAGACATGCACAGTATTGTCTGAATTGTGTAAAATGAGGAATTTTATCTACATAAGCAGCATGGTTTAATTGTGTTTTGTACTTGTAAATTGGAATTGAGGACGGAAAGATATTCTTCTTTCACAGTTGACAAGTCATGTAGTAAAACGGTCACACCTCAGGGATTTCACTTATCGGGGAAATAGTTTGTGTATCCATTAAAAAAATACTGGGTAAATGTAAAGTCTTGATGGAAATGTTATCAGATTTCAAGTGTTGAAATTAATACGAATAGTAAGACATAGGTAAATAGCCTGGCAGCCGCAACTGATATGTATCAGTGATATATAACATATATACATACAGTACATGTATATATGTAATACTTATAGAGTACAAACAGTATATATGGTAGTATTTCATCCCAGTGTGATTTTATGCTGACGTATGCATGGTGTAAATTAAATAATACTGACAAAAAACTTAGCTATACTGGCAGCTGCCATGGATTTCATAAGTTAATCTTTGAAAATACTATCACTTCTTTATAAAACTGCAATCTTTCTACAGATGTCAGAGAAAAAACTACGACTGATTACCTACCTGTCCCCAGGTGTGCCTGTTCAATTATTTGAGACAGTAATGCAATACCTGGAAGAAGCGTTAGGTAGGGAAGCTTACCTCATTTATGAATCAAGGTGGACTGGTCCTCCAAGAGACCGCACTGACCCCTTCACAGCGGATGAGGTCGACATAGGTAATAATATTTGTTTTTCTACACCTGCCATGAATTAGGGATGGGGGAGGACATTGGGTAACCTGGTACTTCCATATGTCCCAAAATATTTTGCTGCATTTCTGCTTGAAGATAAGGATTGTAAATCAGCTGTGTGGCTTTAAACTATTGGTTACAGATCAAGTTAGAATAAAAAAAAAAAAAAAAAATCTACATTTTGGTGGAGTTATTGCCCTTTGCACTTAGAATATTGTTGAAATTGGCAGATTTCCAGACTATGTTTTACCCTATGTTCAGAGATAATGACTTTAAATTTGTTGTGAGGCTTCAACCTACAGGATTACATATATAGTTTGAATCTAGGTTAAACAATCTAATGTTATATTGTTCTAGGCTTTTGCGCTTCAAATCTTCACAAAAATATATAGAAAATACAATTAATTTTTAAACAAAAATCAAAACAACCTTTCGTGAAGAATCTTAAATGGAGATGGGAAAGGGTTTCATGAAAACTGACTTTTAACAAAATGTTTTTACATATATTTACATATATGTGTTAACAGTTTACATCTATAGGCATTGTTTATGGCTACCTGATAACTTGAACTGTAGAATGACTCTCTCTCTCCTGTTTCACCATGTGTATCCTTTTTAATATACAGGTGCTCAAATAAGTCCAGGGGACCAACATATACATTCTTACTGAATTAAAGAGGTGGGGATATTTATATAGGACAATGAAATAGTGTTTGTTTACATTCTAATGAAACAGTGGCAGATGTGTTGGGTCTTGTTTCAAGATATTTGCTTGTTGACAAATAAAATAAAGTTTGTACACAACTGATGCTGTTTGTTGTGTCATCACAGGCTTTATGAGCAGTGAAACATTTCTACCACTGCAGCATAAGAAGAATTCATGTGTTGAGTTGTGTGGTGCAGCCCCACTGCATGTTCATTCTAAAGGCCAAGGTAATGCGGTCTATTTCTCTGACCTGATCATCAACACAGGAGACGTGTAAGTATAGAATATATCTCTGCATCCATATTGCTATGTTCTGACAAGAAATGTGATCAGAGTGATAACTTATTTAGATTATAAATTACAGCTGTAATGAGATGGAATACAGGGAATAGAAAAAAAGTAGTTTTCTATTGCTGAGGCTCAAATTAGGGAATGGTTGCTCTCCACAACTAACAATCTCTCCCTCTTTACAAAACCCTAGTGCATCCTGCTCTCTACAGCTTACCATCTCTAGCTCTCAATAATTATTGAATATTAGTGACCTTTCTCTCTCTGTAACCAGTGACATCTGTCTCTACAAAAAGCAACTACTTACACTCTCTGTGTAAATAGTGACCACTCATTCTCTATCACTAGCCAACTCACACTCTATAACTAGCCACCTCACTCTTTATAACTAGCCACCTCACTCTTTATAACTAGCCACCTCACACTCTATAACTAGCCACCTCACACTCTATAACTAGCCACCTCACACTCTATAACTAGCCACCTCACTCTTTATAACTAGCCACCTCACACTCTTTAACTAGCCACCTCTCACTCTATAACTAGCCACCTCACACTCTTTAACTAGCCACCTCACACTCTTTAACTAGCCACCTCACACTCTTTAACTAGCCACCTCACACTCTTTAACTAGCCACCTCACACTCTTTAACTAGCCACCTCACACTCTATAAGTAGCCACCTCACACTCTATAACTAGCCACCTCACATTCTCTAACTAGCCACATCTCACTCTATAACTAGCCACCTCACACTCTTTAACTAGCCACCTCACACTCTTTAACTAGCCACCTCACACTTTATAACTAGCCACCTCACACTCTATAACTAGCCACCTCACATTCTCTAACTAGCCACATCTCATTCTATAACTAGCCACCTCACACTCTATAACTAGCCACATCTCACTCTATAACTAGCCACCTCACTCTTTATAACTAGCCACCTCACACTCTTTAACTAGCCACCTCACACTCTATAACTAGCCACCTCACACTCTATAACTAGCCACCTCACACTCTATAAGTAGCCACCTCACACTCTATAACTAGCCACCTCACACTCTATAACTAGCCACCTCACACTCTTTAACTAGCCACCTCACTCTTTATAACTAGCCACCTCACACTCTTTATAACTAGCCACCTCACTCTTTATAACTAGCCACCTCACACTCTTTAACTAGCCACCTCACACTCTATAACTAGCCACCTCACACTCTATAACTAGCCACCTCACTCTTTATAACTAGCCACCTCACACTCTTTATAACTAGCCACCTCACACTCTTTAACTAGCCACCTCACACTCTTTATAACTAGCCACCTCACACTCTTTATAACTAGCCACCTCACACTCTTTATAACTAGCCACCTCACACTCTATAACTAGCCACCTCACACTCTATAACTAGCCACCTCACTCTTTATAACTAGCCACCTCACACTCTTTATAACTAGCCACCTCACACTCTTTAACTAGCCACCTCACACTCTTTATAACTAGCCACCTCACACTCTTTATAACTAGCCACCTCACACTCTTTATAACTAGCCACCTCACACTCTTTATAACTAGCCACCTCACACTCTTTAACTAGCCACCTCACACTCTATAACTAGCCACCTCACACTCTATAACTAGCCACCTCACTCTTTATAACTAGCCACCTCACACTCTTTATAACTAGCCACCTCACACTCTTTAACTAGCCACCTCACACTCTTTATAACTAGCCACCTCACACTCTTTATAACTAGCCACCTCACACTCTTTAACTAGCCACCTCACACTCTATAACTAGCCACATCTCACTCTATAACTAGCCACCTCACTCTTTATAACTAGCCACCTCACACTCTTTATAACTAGCCACCTCACACTCTTTAACTAGCCACCTCACACTCTTTATAACTAGCCACCTCACACTCTTTATAACTAGCCACCTCACACTCTATAAGTAGCCACCTCACACTCTATAACTAGCCACCTCACATTCTCTAACTAGCCACATCTCACTCTATAACTAGCCACCTCACACTCTTTAACTAGCCACCTCACACTCTTTATAACTAGCCACCTCACACTCTTTAACTAGCCACCTCACACTCTATAACTAGCCACCTCACTCTTTATAACTAGCCACCTCACACTCTTTAACTAGCCACCTCACACTCTATAACTAGCCACCTCACACTCTTTAACTAGCCACCTCACACTCTATAACTAGCCACCTCACACTCTATAACTAGCCACCTCACACTCTTTAACTAGCCACCTCACACTCTATAACTAGCCACCTCACACTCTATAACTAGCCACCTCACACTCTATAACTAGCCACCTCACACTCTTTAACTAGCCACCTCACACTCTTTAACTAGCCACCTCACACTCTTTAACTAGCCACCTCACACTCTTTAACTAGCCACCTCACACTCTTTAACTAGCCACCTCACACTCTTTAACTAGCCACCTCACACTCTTTAACTAGCCACCTCACACTCTTTAACTAGCCACCTCACACTCTATAACTAGCCACCTCACACTCTTTAACTAGCCACCTCACACTCTATAAGTAGCCACCTCACACTCTATAACTAGCCACCTCACATTCTCTAACTAGCCACATCTCACTCTATAACTAGCCACCTCACACTCTATAACTAGCCACATCTCACTCTATAACTAGCCACCTCACACTCTATAACAAGCCACCTCACACTCTATAACTAGTCACCTCACACTCTATAAGTAGCCACCTCACACTCTATAACTAGCCACCTCACATTCTATAACTAGAGACCTCTCACTACCAATCACTAGCTACCTCTATCTCTCTGTAGCTAGTGACATTTTTCTCTCACTGGCTACCTATTTCTCTTTTCAACTAATGATATCCCTAGCACCCTCTGTTTCTAGCAACCTCTTGCTCTGTCACAGGCGACCTTTTGTTCTCTATCACTAGTGCCCTCTCAACGTCTGTCTCTAGCGACCTTTTGCTTTCTATCACTGGCAACCTATTGCTCTCGATCATTAGCAACCTCTCGCCCTCTGTCTGTAGTGCCCTTTGATTCTCTGTCTGTAGCAACCTCTAGCTCTCTATCACTAGCCACCACTTTCCCTTTACAACTATTGACCCTATAACTCACTAGAATCATCATATTCAAAGGTTAAATTCCAACTACAGGTAGCTTGAGGCTAGTAAGGTAACTTGTACCCTCAAATTTAAATTCAATATAATAACATTGTTCCATTTCAAATTTCTCTTCACTTAGAAGTCTGTAACTTGAATTGTAAATATGTAACTAAATAAGCTAGATTTATGGTTGAATGATTTCTATCTAAACAGTGGGGATTATAAAGAGGTCCATGATTTGCGGGGACACAGTTTTGCCTATGTGGACGAAACCTCTCTCAGTGGATGCCTTGTTGTGCTGCAAGAACTCAAAAAGATGGGATTCAATTCAAGTTTCTTTGGGAATGTTTTACAGTCAGGTAATGATTGCCATTTGTATTCAAACGGTAGTTAAATCCAGACCATGTATATAGCAGGCAAGAATGACATTTAATTTACAAGGTATGATTATGTAGGACGATAAAAGATCATTCAAGGGTGCATACTTGTGAATTACATACAATAGAACAAAATAAAGTATTAAACTGTATTAAACAGTTGTTTGATTTTTCCAGAATTGGTGTACATCTATTGTCTATTTGTAGAAGTATACAGTGAAAATAAAGTACAAACACATTACTACTGGGGACTACTTTATTTTAAATTATTTTTTTTATCACTTTACATGTATGATTGACTTCCATATTATCCACATATTAAAATCATCTGTTCTAAACTGACAGGTAGATTTCCGTGGGTAGGTATATCAATGTTCTATGTATTTCATTTTCTTGTCTGATTGTTTTAGACAGTTAGTGCCTTAGGAAGGTATATAGAAAAATGGTCGTTTCCAGGTTCTCTTGTGTGGTCCTTTTAGAATAGATGTACAGTATAGATGTTGTGTGTTCCATGATCTCAATTTGCCACTTTAGATAGGTAGTTTCTTGGGTAGATAAACAATATAGATAATCTGTTTGTTCCAGGATCTGATCTGGTTGCTTTAGACAGGTAATTTCTTGGGAAGGTATACAGATTTTCTGGTTCTTCCAGGATCTGATCTGGTTGCTTTAGACAGGTAATTTCTTGGGAAGGTATACAGAGATTTTAGTTGTTCTGCGATCTGATCTGGTTGCTTTAGACAGGTAATTTCTTGGATTGGTATACAACATAGATATTCTAGTTGTTACAAGATCTGACATTGACCTTGGTATACAGTATAGATATGTTGTGTATTTCTTAATCTCATGTGGTTAATTTAGACAAGTTTATCTTCAGCAAGTATACGGTACTGGTATTCTGTGTGTCAGTGTTCTCACCTGGTTGCTTTAGAGAGGTAGTGTCTTTAGAAGATATAATCATAAACTGTGTTTTCAAGGTTCTCATCTGGTCCTTCTAGACAGGTAGTTATGACAAGAAATTCGTATTTGTATTCTATACATACAGGTAGCCACATTGAAAGGTACCGGGGTATAGTGTATTTAGTGTACTCCAGGTTCTTACCTGATTACTATTTATAGATACAGTCACTTAAACAATTTAGATTTTAAGTGTTTAAGTTTACCTATATACAGGTATATGTTTTGGCAGGCTCCCACCTAAACTCCATACAGATGGTACTGAACAAGACAGCTGAGTCAGCAGCAGTGGACTCGACGGTCTTATACAATTACCTCAAACAGAATCCACAGCATCATGAAAAAATTACTGTGCTCAAGTCTTTTGGACCTCTTCCCATCTACCCAGTTGTCCTCAACTCACGCCTTCCAGGTGAGTTGTTTCTCAAATGTTTATTCATTGGTAGCCTGGATCACTGGTTCAGCAACTGTTTCTTTGTGTTTGTGTTATTTTCATTACTTTGATCAGTAGAAATTCAACAGCTATTTATCAGGCAATATACATCTTAATTTCAAATTCAATATATACATATATATATATATATATATATATATATATATATATAGAGAGAGAGAGAGAATATATGGTCAGTGTCTTATAGTATCAACTATATTTTTTCTTTCCATCCCGAGCCAATATACAGCTTATATTTTAAGACACTGACCATGTATTCTATTTATCCTGCAACATCAGTTGAAAATAATACTATTGAAACTTGAACAGTTTTGTTGTTCAATCTGTGTTTACCTGACATTGATGTTATGTTGATTTTTCCCTGATGACTGACGCCAAAATTAAAAAAAGAAATAGTTCGAAACTTCATCGGACATAACATTTTTTAAAATTTTATGAATTTTCATAAATCAACTTGTTCATTACAAGGTGTAAGATCGCCTGTTTTAATAACTATTTATATTTCTAAATGTAAAAAAGAATGATATTCCTTTGTCTGACATTTAGCTCTGACTTTGAGAATTGGTTTGCAGTTTGACCCCAGGACTTATTGAAGGATAGATCTGGTGTATTTGATAAGGTCTCTAGGGTATATTGATGATTGTATTATGGCTTATATACACTGTGAAATGGAATATTTTTACTGGGGTAGAATTTTGTGGTTTTTTAATGGAAACTTGATATTGTGGATACATGTATATTGTATCATAAATTATATTGTACTAACATTTTTATGTCAAATTCTTAACAGCTAAAATGAATTGTGGATATATGAATTTTGTGGGGTTAGAGCTTAACCTCGAAATCAGCAAGAATTAAAATCCCACAAAAAATGATTATTCAGCCATCATTTTATTTTAAAATTTCTATTCATGTATTACTTTCAAATTGTTCCCTCCTTCATTCTTTTTGGTCACTTTAATGAAATATATGATAGTACATTAAAGGGATATTCTGCACAAGTTAGGATTTCATGAGATGCTTTTGAAGAAAACACTACAAAATCATCTATCGTACTAATGTTCTTATCAAAATTCTACACTCCCATTTACCATTTACACAAAAATATGATATTTCCTTCCTGGAAATTCTTTTAAATCTAGCTAAATCAATTAACAAACATTCACATGACCCTGATTTCGTCACAACAGGTATGACTTGTTATAAAACAAACAGACTCAACTACATTGTATTTGTGTAATTTATAAAATCAACAGAAAATAAGTCTAATGGTGCAAAATATTGTGATAAAGATTGGTAAATGATGTAAGAAATGTTCTGCTAAATCTTTATTCCAGATGATCTCAAAGGGCAGATAACCCAAGCACTGTTAGACATTACTAGTAAAAAGGATTGGCTGAAGAAACTAGAAACTTTTGGAGTGACTGGATTCAAGCAAGTGGACATGTCTTCCTTACTCAAAGAAAAGGAACTCCTTGATTCAGTTAAAAAGCTCAGTATAACAGCAGCATACTACTAGAGGTTCATTTATCAATGACAAACTGTGATGGAATCATGTGGTTTTGGTAATTTTACTGTATTTAACCTAAAAGAGCAGAGAACTTTGAAATTTTTGATAACAAAAAATAGTAATAAAGGCTTCATATATCTCTATGAGAATTTGTATTCATAAATAATTATAAATACAGGTATGGTTTGATGATAGGTGGTAACACTACGTCATGAAGTTGGGGTTAAGGAAGATGTCAGACTTGTATTGGAAAGAGATCTTGCTAAGTTGAATACAGTTTAATGCTTTCAAAATTTCTTCACAGTTGTCATTATTGCATAATTTGGTATGGGGCTATCAATAAAAATAAAATGCTTGTTAATGTTTCTGATATAAAGTAAAATAGATTAAAATTAACACTTCAATATACAGTATAGATTTTTACAGTGTATGCATGCATCTGTTGTAGTATGGTGTTGATGTTTTGAATGTGATTAATTACATACAGAGATTAATTATAGAGAAAAGGTTATTATAGATAACGATAAGATCAATTTTTAATTGGCTACAGCTATCTTAAAATCAAAACAGAGAAAAAAGGCATTAATAGTTGGTGCAATGTTTTATGGCAAAAAGTGCATTACTAGTGTATATGTATATATAGGATTAAATTTCTAATGAAGAATGTTGTACTGAAATTGCTTACTTACATGTTGTTAAGATATTATTTCTGAATAACTCAGGAGACTAGCCTATTGTTTTTTAATGTTTTTCACATTTCAGTCAGTCTATGTCAGAAATATAAAATTACTGTTATTTACAACGTACAGTGTTCATCAAGGTTCTTATGTTTTTCATGACATAAAACTGTTTATTTTCATTGCCATGTTGATAACGGCTCGAGTATAAGAGCTATAGGACTTGCACAGTCTGTCAATACTTGCCAGTCATCCTCATTTAGACTTTAAAATCATCTAAATTACTCACTCATTTCTAGAGTGTTGACCCACACCTTTGATATATTGCAAAAAATGACTTTCAATTGAATGCCTTTGCAAAGCCTTTAGGAATTACTTTCCCTCAGGGGTTAAGTGTTTTTCTGAGACACATCTTGGTGCTTTTGAAACAAGAGTTCAGATGATATTTTCAAATTTTGTTCTATGATTGAAGGACATAGTGAAACTGTGGTGAATGTTTGTCCATATATTGTACTAAATTGTTTCAAGTCTCTGTATGGAAAAGTGCATACTAATGTCTGATGTAAGATTTGAAGTTGACTTCCAGTTAATGGGACCATTTTAATAGTGTAAGATATTGTATGAAGAAATTCAGGGATTTGTTGTAGGTAATTGTGTATGTATAAATACATGTTTATGTGTATGCTTGGCCATATAAATTCTATTTCGTATTTTTGTTTTTAACAAAATTAGGACCTGTTTAATAAATCGAGTTATGGATTAGTCGGATATTTATCAGATAAGTAATTAGTATATATCCAAGAATCTCCTGTATTTGCTATAAACACAAATATATATATATATTGATAATCATTTATACTTATTTGAATATTTTCTGTAAAGATATCTGGTTGGCATGACCGTTGTTGTTTAAAGTTGTAGGAATTCCAACTCTGACGATGTTTTTGTTGAAATGACAATATAGATTTCTTGTTGTTTTCATTCATATGGTTGTCTTTGTTGCCATGACAACAGTTGTTGTATATAGTTGTCATTCATATTTAAAGAATGTGTTTGTTGACACGATATGATTTACATAATTGTAGGAATTTATGATAAGATAAATCGACAACAATCCGAAGTTCTCAAAGGACATCTGTAATGATATAACAACATTAATATGACAACTGTTGCTTAGAATTAAGGTTAAATAAAAGTGCATATATATTTTTTGGGATTCAAGCTAAACGCTTGTTTTATTGACATATAAACAGTCATAAATTAAAAATTTGAAATATTTAAGCTCAAAGCATCTTTTGTTGAAAGATCAACATTGTACTATATAGCTTGTTATGTGACTTCAATATCTTGAATGTTTTATTTTACATTCTCTGTTATCAAGGAAACTTGAAAACAACAAACATTCCAGCCATGTACAAATTCTATTTTCATGACAACTGATTAAGAATAAAAACAGCTTGTTATATTTTATATAAGTATATCTGGTGAAATAAAAAAGATATTTAATTTTCACCATGTGCTGGTTTGGTTGTTTTTATCATCATATGAAAAAATCTTAGGTGCTGGTGTGATTTCTAGACAATGTCTTTGAAAAGAGCACTTATATTGAATGGATTCGTTTCCCTTCCAATATTTTCATTTTCTTGTACATGAGGTTTTTAGCAACAATATGAAAGAAAATGGTCTAGAAATCTCAGGTTTGTTTATATTCTTAAATTTTCCCATTTATTTACCAATTAAATACTTTAAGGTTGGGAAGCAGTAGACATGCTATGAGGCAATAGAATATTCTGCAAACAAGATAACGCTTAGTAATGTTCTGTCCTTCTAATTTGTCATATATTTCCTGCGATTTAAAGCATTTTTAAGGTGATCACTTCATGCCAACAAATGTACTTGTCAGATAATAAGTTTGGTATTCTGAAGATATGTAAATATACAATCATATTCTCTTTGTTGGTTGAAGTTACCAGAATTACCAAAGGGGCAATAACTCTGAAATATCACTAAATCTGCAGTATGGACGTCGGGAAATGCAGAAAAGAATAGTTCTGAAAGGTAAAGATAGAAGGATGTTGAGAATTATTCTTACATTCTATTGAAGTTTATTGACTTCAGAGTGATAATTTCATAGAATGTCAGAAGAATTTGGACAAGTTTGTTGCTGAAATTTATATAAATATATCAAAACTGCTGTGTGAAGATTGACAAGGTACTCTTTTTTAGATTTTTAATGTCCATTTATTTCTTCTGTATAACGTAACAAAAAAGCTTTAAATCTGAGATTGCAAAAACATCATAAAATCACAAAATTGATTTTATTGTTATATACAATATCTTAATAATAGATAAAAAATTCAACATGAAATTAAAAATAAAGGAAAAAAAAAAGTTTGGAGAACCTGTACTCAGAGGGGCCCGTTACCATACATGTCCTTATCCCCAAGAAACATTGTTACAGGCCCCAGTGTCTTTCAAAGTATGTTCAGAAATTTTTATAAATTTTCCCCCATGTTAGGCTGTATGATCCATCAAGACAACAACCTCACTTCATTTGATTCACAGAAGCCAAGAAACAAAAATTTTTCAAAACAGTTTCTTTCATTTTAATTTACATGATATATTGTACCCTGTATGTATACCTATCTATGCAATTGATCACAGAATTATGTGCCAGACCTGACATGCCTCAACGACCAAAACCTTAGCCCTTAATGGAAGAAGGGTTTCACCACAGTCTTGAACTGATGAGGGTTTTTCCCCTAGCCCTGATCTGCAGAGAGTTTTTATCCTAGCCCTAAACCGAAGAGAGTTTTTTATCCTAGCCCTGAACTAAAGAGCTAGAAATTAAAAAAAAAAAACCTCTAAAGAAGTTAGAGAGTCATGGAAGGAAGAAATGGGAACACAGATGTAGAAAAAACTTTCACCCGACAGCAAATATCTCATGTCAAACTCCATATATGATGTGTAACTATAAATAGACTATCACATGATCTATGTAAAATGTGTCTATATATACACTGGTAACTAAACTTGGTAGAATTCTGATAAACTTAACCAACTAAGATATAGATTAAAACTTTATCTGCAAACATTCTTGTTCTTATATATTCAAGAATGAAAAAATGATAATTTTCTGTCAATTAACATGTAAAAATAAAAAAAAAAAAACTGAAATAAGTAGATAATAACGTAATCACAGTTAGCAAGAGTTCATATCAAGACAATGACAGCTGATAAAAGATTATACAGGTGATCATATAAAACAAAACTATCATCAATACATTTAACAATTTGTGATTTCAATCTAATAGATCACATATAGCACCATTGTGTTATTACAGACCCCAACTCCCTAAAAATTAATCATAGGACACCATCACAGGAAATGGGGACAACTTCTGACAACTCTTAGATTTCTGTGTCTTTAATGAGAATTCGATGTATGACCTTTTAATAAAAATAATTCTAAGCAGTAGGGTGGAGGTACAACGTCCCTCTGTTGATGAAGATCAGTGAAATATGTCCGGGAAAGGCCATGGATACTTTTATTATACAGAGTCCTCACTAAAAATCGTAAAATAAAATACTCAGATTAAGCGAAAGAAAGAACTAAACCATTTTTCACTCCAGAATCGTGTTCATGGCCTGAGGTGCAAGGCTTCGTCTGTACATGTTGGGGTCATTTAAGGTCATAGACGCTACAGAACTGGGGCGCAACTCATCCATATCTGGTAGTTCAATCTTTTCCATCACTGCCACAGCAATAGGACTGGCCTCATGGACGTCATTAGCAATGCTGTCCTGGAGGAGTCGTAGCATGTGCTTTATCTCCTCCAATCTGAAGAGCGTCTGTAAAACAGAAATAATAATGAAAATGTTCTGATGAAAACTGAAAAAATTAATAAATATTATGTAAATTGTACCTATATACAAATTAGTGTTTTATAAATCTACCTTTGATGATCATTTCCTTTCATTGGAAACAAGTTTTTTTGATCTCTAATAGGATATAGGATTACATCTGGGCAGTCTCACTTGGAAATGAAAAAAAAATATATATTTAAAAAAGTACCTGATCCTCATAGGCAAGATAGGAGTTATCTAAGTAAGGATCTTCCTCTATGGCCGTCCTGAGTTTGGAATCCAGAAAGTTAGCAATCTCCGAGCCAGCCATAGTAATTCGAGCTTTGCATACGTCGGTAAGCTTTTGTTGGAAAACCATTATCATCCGTCCTAGCTGGGCCTCGTTGATAGGGCCCTGTAAACATAGACACCAAGTAGGAATTAACACTTGCAGATATGAAATATAACTTGGCTAAATATTTCTGATGGTATTTTGGTTATGCTGAAGAACTTTCTTTGTATATTCGTCTAGGTCATTCATCCAAACAAACTTCAATGTCTATTCTTTCACAGAATCAGCGTAATTATGATTTGTAAGCTTATATTTTCCTAGATTCTTGTTATGGATATTGAAGAGGTTGTTTAAACATTTAACACATCTGACCTCCATTTGACCTTTGAAATGGGTAAAGGTCATTTATTTGAACAACTTGTCCTTCATTGTCTAGTTTGTTTTTAGCATAAGGGCTATACACTGAAATAGAGTGGTACTAACGTTTTTGCATGAAAACAATAAAAATGTCCGAAAAAATAATTATTCACAACACATAACAACAATTATAACCCATTTTTTGTAAGTCATATCCTTATCATACATGAATCAAACCATGTCCTTCTTGATAAAAGACAAGTGTGTCATCTGTTGAATTAGTTACCTCTTATGACATGCAGTGAGATACAGCAGTTCTTTCCTCTGCCACCTATCTGAGTCATATAAGCGTGTAAGTACATCACTTTACCTCTAATTCCTCAGTAGAACTGAGGGAAGCAGCTGTCAGTGGGGTCACCTGACTGCGCTGTGACTTCTTGGTGCCCTTTGAACCCCGACTGGGTTGCTGTGATGGTGGTGGAGGTTGACGGTTACGAAATCGCTCCTGGTTATGGCCTATGAACTCCATCATAAGTTGGATGAGGTCTTGAAGTGTCTCAACCATGAACGTGACATACTCTATCTGGGCAGCCATACTGTGCAACATACGCCAGCTCTCTGTTATGTGATTCTGGTCCTTTAAGTAACAAACAATAAGATTTGTTCTGATATGTAACCAAACTTATGATTGATTCAAATATGTAACAAATAATATGATTGGTTCCCAACATGTAACAAATAATATGGTTAAACTGACCTGAAACAAATATTATGACCTTTCACCTTCTTCATACAAGTTGAAATTAATTCAAAGATTAAACTTTTCATTTCTGCTTTTGACATTTCAAATTCAAAATATTATCACTTTTATCAATTTTAGAATATCCACATTTGTTTTGAAGGAGACACCTTAAGAAAGGGTACATTAGAGATAAAAAAAGTTGGGGGTTACATTAAACTTTGACACTACCTGGTTGAGGAGATCCCTGAGAAGGAGACCGCGATGAACTGTCAACCAATCATAGTGAAGTTTGGCATCTCCGAGCATTCTGTTGAGAAACTGGTGAGCAGTTCGTGTGTTAGCTCCATTCATAGGGTCCCCACCATTTTTCGGGCCACCATTTTGATAGTGAAAAGCTGCCTAAAAAAGAAAATATATGGAAACTAAACAGTAATCAAGGTCATGGCTAGATATACCAGGCCCCTCTGTCATTAGGAAATAGATACCCCCCAATTGGCATCATCTTGTAGGTATCATCCAGATGGCAATGCCACAAGTATTTATTCCCAAAGCGGTCAAGTTTGACCTTTGACACTTTGATTGTTACCAATGACTACTAAAATGTAATTATGACTAGTACAGAATTCAATGTTCTGATACTTTGGTGTGAATTTGTTGACAGGATCATGGGATATATTGTACCCAATCAAGGACTTCCAATGTGGTCAAGTATGGCCTTTGATCTTTCATCTTTGATCCATGACCCCAAAATTTGATCGTATGTCAATCTTGACTAAACCTGTTGAGAACTTCATAAGCTGGCTCATATAAAAAAATAATAAATAAACATGGACTGATAAAATGATGCCACTTACTCGGTCCTAAGTTAGAAACATGGATTGATAAAATGATGCCACTTACTCCATCCTGAGATAGAAATATGGACTGATAAAATGATGCCACTTACTCGGTCCTGAGATAGAAACATGAATTGATAAAATGATGCCACTTACTCGGTCCTGAGATAGAAATATAGACTGATAAAATGATGCCACTTACTCGGTCCTGAGATAGAAACATGGATTGATAAAATGATGCCACTTACTTGGTCCTGAGATAGAAATATAGACTGATAAAATGATGCCACTTACTCGGTCCTGAGATAAAAATATGGACTGGTAAAATGCCACTGGGTTGTCAGGGTAAAACACTTCAGCTCTAAATAAAATAAAAACATCAGTTAATCAGTCATTTATGTAAGTTTTTCAGTATCACAGAAACAGTGTATTGTAGGTATCATTTTATGTCATCACAATTCCAACATCTTTTTAATATGCAAATTGGATGAATTTGAATATTATCAATCTAAATATTCTTCTATTGGAAAAAAAGGGGACCTTCAAATATCACTGAATTGGGGATTCAAATATCCAGTATTATTAAATTCTTCAAACATATTCAATAGAATTAGAAATTGGAGGAATACACATACATATGTACCATGAAATTGTTTATTTTTAGGGAAAAGAAACTCAAGCTTACTCAACATCGTCGTCTGTGAGGAAATGAAAAAGGAAGTATTTTCGTACAGGTACATAACGCCACTGGTCCAGAAAAACATAGGCCTACAAAAATAATAATGGATACAGAAATTTTTTTAAGTCTATAGTATCTGTAAAAGATGGATACATAACTTTTTCACAGTCATATGAAAGCAAGATTTGAATAGTTTCTGCTGTGTGTATTAATTTGAGATCATAATGAACACGTGAAGTTCAAAAATTAACACAGTGCTACAGTTGCATTCTTCAGAAAAAAGGAATGAAGTAGGTGTATACTTTCATAAATATAGTCTCCTTGCTGGAGCAGATTGCGACACACTCAGCGATGAAGCCATTTTTCTTTGTCATAATGTCTTCCCATGTCCAGCGGGTCTGACCATCACCAAAATATGCACCCATAACTGGAATTTCTTCTTGTCTGATAAGGTCACTCAGATGGTTATGAACTGTAGACGGAAATACATGTGAATTTGTATATCATTGAACAAATATTTATTGGACTGATGTACTAATTCTGAGACCATGACTTTGGAGAAAATCAGATATTGTATCTAGGTCTCTGAGTACAATAAAATCTCAGCTGGGTGACAAAGAATATTTGTATCCTTTATACAAAACACTGACCTTTTATTTTTAAACCTGTATAATTCACACCTTTATAATTTGCACCTGTAAAATTCATGTCAGTATAATTCAAACAATACTTCATTGATAACATATACAGCAAAATAAGTCTAAACCTGTATTCCAAACAGAGAAAATAAACCCAAAAAGTGTTTGTTTTTAAGTACAATTGTTAGCAATAATGTATGCAATTCCAGCAGGTTCACTCAAAATAAGTATGACATTTACCAATAAGAGCAAACAACTGGATTGCCTCCCCTTGGCACCCAGGTGGCCCCTGGATATAGATGTGCTCATGTAGTTCAATTTCATTCAGGTACGGCTGCATTTTCCCATACAGTATGCTAGGACCACACATTGCCATACAGATCGCTACCTGAAGAAAGACATATAATGTAAGACAAGTTGCCAATCTAATCTGTCTTTATTTTCATGGGATGTTAAAAGGTTTTTATTTCTTATCCTTTTTCACTAAGATGTTTACCAAGATGTCAGTATCTAATTGATCTACAATGCTGCTTAATTAGCAGGTAATAGATATCATGTATATAACCTTTCAACTTAACAAATAAATAAATAAATAAAACAAAAATATAAATAAATATCCTTACCAGACTTTCAAATTAAGAACACATTCCACATACTCAAGTATCATATTTATCCAGCTATCATAAGCCCTTCCCTGATAGAAAGCTCATCCTAATAAACTGATCTTAAGTTGTCTTGAAATAAGCCCACCCTCATACTTTATGAAATATATAAGAAGCAATATGTTCCCCCTCCCTCCCTGATGCAGGATACATATGGTATATAAAAGATAGTAAGAAACTTGAACTTACTCGATAAGCACCCTTTCTCTGTATATAGCTTTGTTGCTCAAACAGCTGTAAAATACAATGTAAGTTGAGATCTCAGTGGAGTTATAACTGCTATCATTTAACTCTTCAATCTTTGAAATGAAATAGCAGTTTGTCATGATGGAACAATGTGTACTAGAATTTATCAAACTTGGCATAAAATTTCCAGATGTCTGAATGTTACCACAGCCCCAACTAATTATACGTTTATACAGCTGTAATTTATCTTATCAATATACGAGGGCTGATTGATAAGATGTGAGCCTCATATTTAAGACTTTGACTTTTGGTGGCCATATTGCATTATTTTTCAACATAATCCCATTCAGTGTCTATACACTTTTGCCCATGATGTTTAAGGGTCTCAATGCCACTTTTAAAGAAGTCCTTTTCTCGACCGTATAGAAAGTCCTCCACTGGATGTATGGCATCATTATCAATTCTGTCACCCACATTTTCACTGTAGCATATGAAGGGGCACCATTCTCTAGTGTTGCTACCATATCCTTAGGTGCTAAACCTTTCTTATGCAAATATTGCATCACTGCTCTTTCAGCAATTTTGTCCATTTAGCAAAAGTCACTTGCCTTCTTTACTATGGAGTGCTACCTTTGCAACATAAACTGACCAAATGACACCACTCTTCGGGTACACAGCCTTAAATAGTCAGGGAACAGTAGAGCTGAAAAAGGACATTCCTGCCTATCAATCAGCCATGGTATATTTTTAGCCAATCATTTCTCTTGTTACATATCCCTGTTTGACCTACCTTGAGGGTCTCTGTGAGAGGTACGTATGCTCCTGTATCCAGAACAGCTAATGCGCTTGGTGTACCTAAAAGTAAAAAATGGACGATCTTTCAAAATATTGATAAAAATTGCTGCAGATTAACTAAATATTTGTTAATAATGTTTAAATTACATTTTCATGAAGAGTTTCATCTGTTTCAGGAACCATAATTTTAAAAAGTTTTCCCTCTATAGTTCATCTGTACAGGTACAAAGGCCATTTTGTGTACATGATCGTGCAGTCTCAAAACATGATTGATATCACAAGTGTCTGAGAGAAGTCTCTGAGTGAAATTTTGGAATGATCCATTCAGTCCTCTTAAATACCATTGTATTGGTAATTCAACTGTCAGAATCCAAACTGACCACCTGTCAGTCTTTTTGCTGAAACTGATTATGGGAACATACATATATAGCTTAACAAGGTTCATGATTCTTGATAAATAGCATTAAAAAAATTGTTCAAAAGATGCACAAGTGAATTAAGCAACTTTTAAAACAAATTTAGAATTAAATACAGAAGAGCCATACAATAAATTACCATGATACAGCTGTTTCATCATTCTTGGATTCATCTGGTCAGTGATGCTAATTAATGTTAATTGTTGAAATCCAAGATGGCCACCGGCTGGCCTTCTTTATTTTCCATACAGTTTTCAAATTAAATGTGCAAAACTATGGATAAAGGAAAACCTAAATGTATGAAGTTCAAGTACTTTTCATGAAAGAACAATCAAGGACAATTAGAAAAGTCTGTCGTCAAATGATGATGGCTAAAAGATATATATTTCAACAGACACATGGGATCACTGACTTTGTGAAGTGCAACTGTAAAGCAAATTCAGTCTAATATTGATTATTACCAGTTCATATTTAATTAATCTACAAAAAAGTCCAAATTAATCATATAAAGTTAGAAAATACATGACTGTGATTAAATTCATTTTCTCATTTTTCATGCAAATGACCTTGATATTTGATATTTGACTCTGATGATCTTGACATTTGACCTTTGACTCTGATTATCTTGACATTTGACCTTTGACTCTGAAGATCATCACCAGAAAGAGAATCAGTGTACTAAGTTTGATTGCCATCTTTCATGTCATGGTTTTTCTTCAGTGACCCAAAGTGACCTTGACCTTAGGAATATACTGACCATGTCCATCCACCCCAGGAATGTGGTAAATGTAATTGTCTGGGTCCTCAAGCTGCATGTTCTCGACACTCCACATCCGTTCCATGATGGCATTTGACCTCTCGAACCATAAATCCATTCTGGGGAAAAGTTAAGATACAGCTGAGTGCTACACGTCATGATAGAAACAAAGGGACAGTAAAAGATTCAGTGGTTTCTATTGCTGAAAAAGGATGAAGTTAGTTACATGGTTGCTGGTAAGAAGGAAATGACACTACTTTTTTCAATCTCCAATAAGAATTAAGTCATCTCTTGTTTGGTCTTGAGAGGGGTTGTGAGAGAGGATGAATTATCGTTAAAAATGTTGATGAGTAGAATAACTTGGACGTATGAAGAGAGTGGTCACTGAAAGAAGTGGGTATTAAAAGAGAGACCACAGAGTGCGAATGTTTCAGTGTAAGATTAACATGATGAATGCTAAACAGGAAAGTTTAAGTAAAAAGTGGAATGATAAAATGGTTGGTTTGAACATCTTCACAACAACTTTGGTCATTTGAAGAATGGGGTCAAGGTGGACAACAAGAAAAGTGATAAAAATTTATAAAAAAAAAACAATGACATGAGAGACAAGACATAGAAGTGAAGGTTTTTGTTGTTTACCTCATGGCACACTGACGTAGAATGCTGACAAGTAGAGGGTACGGATTGGGAGGAAAATGTTCACCTGTGGCAATATCCAACAGGAAGTCATGCCACACAATATCGACGTGAGTATCCACTAAATACTGAAGATAAACAAGACAGAAGTTTCGTGGTCAAATGGTTCCCATGTGTACTGAGATATCTACTTTAATAATTTTTCATAAAAGTACAATTTCTTTGACACTTGATTTCTTGGATAAAGAGTAGTCACAATATCCACTAGTGTTCAGGTGTATTTAATTTGTTTATTATTTCACGGACATATAAATTGGTATAATCAAATTATGATTTTCCAGTTAACATTAAGATATCAATATCATGCTTTTCTCTAGGATGTGATATATCAACTACAATACAAGGTACAGTCAAAGGTCAAACCATTTGATACAAATTGCAGCATTACAATCCTAAGTAAACCAGAATGTACCATTCATTTAGTTTCTCATACTGACCCGGAGAAGGACTGCTTCCCTTGCAATCTGTTTAGATGCTGAGTTGTCCCTAGCCATACATGTCTGCACGTCGATCACTTTGAAAAATAAGATAAGAAAATAGAAACATATAATCAACAGGTAATGTTTTATGTCAAACATTTGTCAGATGTCAATGCTCAAATTTGAATAATTTTAAGTTTATACATCAATCTCTGATAAATTTCTATAAATAGTAATGGAGAACTTGACCTTTGAACCCTGAAACAAAAATTCACACGAAGTACGTTTGTCATGTTTGACTTCTGCATAAAGGTTGATCAAGATCTTTTCAGAAACGGAGACATCAGGACAATAAATTAAATCTAAGATTGAATGGTATGGGACATTATATAACAGGATGCAACAGTTTGGATAAAATGGCACAGGCATAGACAAATCTAAACACTCAAGTACAGACAAAAGACAGGAGGGTCCTTGCATTGTGTCAGACTCTGAGCTAGTTTTACATTAACCTCTGACTTCTAATCGTGACAAACTATTGAGAACGAAAGGAAACGAATGAAGGAAGTCTGAGTGTATTCATCCAAACAGAAACAAAGATATTTTGCAGAAACTGCTTTTCTTTTATAAGAGTGACCTTGACCTTTGTCCTCAGGACCCAATGTAAAGTTTGAGTGCAATTGAATGAACAGATCTTGAGATATTTTACTAAAACATAGACAGACAACCAGATTACAATGGATCACCTGCATCTTCCATGTTGAGCCCTAATAACAAAAGCATGTTTTCTTCCACCATGTCAGGATTTACTTTAATTAATAATGATTAACATGTACAGGTATTCCATAAAGATATTTCTGAAATATTTTGTACCTGGATCAAAAAGAAACAATTATATCATGGCACACCAAAGATAAAAAAATTAGGTAAAGATTTAAAGTCATACCCATAACACAAAATATACTGATATTCAGTATATGTGTCAAAAAATCTCACATTGGAAAAAATAACTTATCAATGGGTTGGAAAATTTAGCAGAGAGAAAAATGTGAGCCATTGAAATAAGGCCAGAGTTTCAGTTTTATTGTCAGTATACAAGTAGCTATCTTGGAAAGGGTTGATCTATGTTGAATTGACAAGATAAAATCAAATGGCTACAGCAACTGCTTCAGTTCTGCGATCCCCAATGAAAACTTAGCTGAACTTTTCACAGCTACAAGTACACATACCATAACGTTCGTGGTTTTTGATGTGATCGTTCTCCATGCCGTGGTCTACCTGGAGATCCATGTCACTTCCCTATTACAAAACAGAAATATAATCTGATCTAAAAATCCTTACTAATATCAGAACTATGGCTCAAGAAAAACCAATGTGTTGGAACAATAAAGCCCTTTTCTTTTAAAGGGACTAAATGGTTAGATTTCATTATTTTTCCCGATACGTTTGATTTCCGGCAAGCATTGTAATACTTAAAATTAGACACTTCACAAAATTATAACACTCTCTGAGAGAAATTCGTAAAGATTATCAGTGTCAAGCTAACACTAGTCGACACTCTCTTGTGTCTACCACCCATCCCTGTTTTGATTGGAGATAGCCAAGTTCATCACACTACCCTGCAGAGTCTCATTTTAACCTGCCGTTTTGATATGATTTCTTACTATGTATAATTATGTAATTGGTCAAAACTGAATTTGCCAGCCATGTTTCAATTCTTACTTTTGTTGAATGACCTCTTGTTTCATGCTATAAGTGTGACAGAGTGAAATGAATGATTGTTACACTGTAGTCTGAATCTAGAATTGTATTGTTTACACACTCCAAATGATAATGATATGATTTAGTGATGGGTTGCTTCTATTTTATTTTAATTTTTTTGACACTGTTTTTAAAATGGTTAGGCAAACTTTATAATGTAATAGTTAATAGAAAGTACACAATTTTCAAGAGATATGAATATGTTGTAATGTTTTTTTTATCAGTTATTGAATGAATATCTAACCATATAGTCACTTTAAGGACATGGTTCATATAGTTGTCCGATAATTCTGGTGTTGGTGCTTTTAACTTTCCTGAACTTAAATTATTTGTGGCAGTGTAGGATAAAAATTTCTCCTGACATTGGATTTATAGATTGACTTTAGTGACAAAGATTTGTCATACCACTGGGTCACTTCTCTGTCGAAGTCTGGTAATGGGACGTGGTGCTCGCTCTGGAAATGTCACTTGCATCTTCAAAACAAACTCCTAAAAACATTTCACATTTATTTATTAGCACTTCCTGATCAATTTGACTTTGTCTTGTTGGCATTCATAAGCCCATGAATGCCAAATGAAAGTAGTTCAATGCTTATATTTACTTTTATCAATTACTAATAATGTGATCCTTTATATGGAACAGGTATGTTGACAGTGTACTGTCACCATCCCTCACCTGGTTAGAATTACATGTATGATGTCATGATGAAAATGTTATCAATGTCATTTATGGTCCTATAAATCAACTTTCTTTCTTGATCATTGATGATATAATTCAATGTATGACAGAAATATGTGGATACATTGTAAGTAAAGTTAACATTTTTACAGTACCTTAAATATAGGTGCTTGTGGCAGGGTGTCTTCAACTATTTGGATCAGTAACGTTAAACAGTACCAGTTTAGGTTCTTCAATGTCTTCATGCTCTGAAGAGGAACAATGCAATTACACTGTACATGTAATCAGAGAAAAACAAGATCTACAATATCCAGGGCCTCTATAAGAAAATTAGCATTATCCTAAATATATAGATTTTAAAGAATGACTCTGGAAAAGAAGAAAAAAATAAAAAAAATACAGTATTTAGGTTGATGAATGGCAGAAAACTAAATTGATAACAAAGAAAAAGTTTAAGTCCAAAAACATGTCTAAATTCCACTTTTTGATGAAAAATGCCTCTACATTTCCCTTTTAAATGAGTCACACATCTCAAAACGTAACGCTCATACCAAATATCTACATCTTAGAACATATACAAGTATCTAATGGTATATTAGAGAGCAATTCATAAATTGCAATAAAACTTTAACCTGGCTAGTAACGCTGATGTGAATGTTGACCCTAATGCCATAAGCCTACCTCTACTCTTCATAAATAGAAGACGTAATGATTGCTCAGATTAGTTGATTCAGAAAACTCATCTTATAATTTCTCCTGGGATTCTCAGTATCCAGAGAAGAGTGATACTGTGTTTTCCTGATTATAAATAGCAATCTTTTCCCTCGTCAGTCAGGTACACAGCTTATATGTTGTTAAAAACAATAATCAGCAGAATGACAACAAACCAGTACAAGATGGTACTGCATTTTTACAAGTACCTGCCCACTATATCTTTGTGACTGAAATAGATTGTTTCAATTGTAAACAGGATGATTTGAAGTATTTAGTTACAATATACTGTATATATGCTCGCCATGTACTGTATGATGAAGATTCTGTTGTAGACCTTCGTATACATTCACTTGGTAATTATATCTAAATATTCAAAAGTGAGTATACAAACCGTTTGTATATGATGGCCTGATCCAAAGGGTATCACAGATCCAGGCATCAAGTCATCTACCTGGGAGGAAATAACTTTGCCAGCGGTGATCTGGTCAGTACTACGGACATTCCTATGTAAGATAACACAGATTTATCAGACTAATGGTCACTAAATTCAGGTGTGATTAGTTTCTATAGATGTAAAAAGGTTCGATAGAAATACATTCATTTAGTTATTCTGTAAAAGTTATCAAATAAAATTGTGATATTAAATAAATTGTGATATAAAACATAATGTAATATATCACACAGAGTTAAGTCACCTTAAGAGTTGAGTCCACTTACAGTATCAGACTGCCTTATAACTGTCATATGTCCAACAGTTTGAACACTCTCTTTATCTGACCTTGTCCTATTTACAGGTCATGGTCCAGAAAGTTGACCAATCACTTTATTTGACCTTCACATACAAACAGTTTGTGGTCTAACAGATTGAACACTCAATTTATCTGACCTTAAAATACTTTTAGGTCATTGTACAGACAGCTGACCAATCATTTTGTCTGACCTTAACATACTTACAGGTCACTGTTAGACAGCTGAACAATCATTTTATCTGACCTTGATATACTTACTGGTCACTGTCCAGACAGTTGACCAATCATTTTGTCTGACCTTGACATACTTATAGTTAACTGTTCAGATAGTTGACCAATCATTTTGTCTAACCATGACATACTCACAGGTCACTGTCCAAAAGATTGACCACTGCTTCACTATACTTAGCCATCTGTTCCTTCAGAATGCTTGTTTCCTTTGCCTGTAAATGATATTGTACAATGGGTGTTATGGCAAAAGTAACATATATATCATTTAACCATTCCCTCAATTCCTAAATTAATAACCTTTTTCTTGTTTAATTCTTATTATTAAACAAGTAGAAAAAAAATTAATTTGGTATTGAGATAAATTTTTTTTCACACTTAAAAAGGAACAATGACATGTATATTTACACAAAAATCTTAAATCTGAAAGATTTTCTGCCAGATGAGCAAAAACGTGATCTAATGATTTTTTTTGACCAATCAACCTGCAATGGATCTCATTTTTCTAATAATATAAAGCAAATGTCTAGTAATAAGCCAGTCCATATTTACATCTGTTTTAACAAAATCACCTACAAATGCTATATTTCAACATCTCACATTGGGCTTATTGCAGGAAACAATATAATGTATATAGTAATTACTTTGGAACTGTTTATAGTAATTATTTTTGACAATCTCATAACTTACACTGCCAAAGCCTTTGAGGAAGAAGCGCAGACTCTTGTTTTGTTCCATCAGATAATACAATCGCCCAGCAGTGCCATGTAACAGACGGAAAATTTCTACCTCTAATCCACTCTCAAATGAATCTCTATGGACGAAGAAAGAAACAGAAAACTTATATAACATTGTATTTCATTTAAACTTCCTGATATATTTATTTTTACTATATATATATATTTATATCTAAAAATACAATTTTTTTCACATTTAGACATTAAAATATCCATGATCTGATATTTCGTTCTAATTTCTTTAAGATGTCATTATGTTGTGCTTTTGAGATATACGATCAAAATTTAAAAGTCATTGTACAACATATATATATGTATAGACCACTCAGCTGATGGAGAATGCTTCTTTGGCTCAGCTGACAGAGCTGTGGATTATCGCCCCAGAAACCTAGGTTCGATTCCTGTCAGGGAGTGTGTTTTTCTCTCTTCTAGCTATGTGCTTTAACAATGGTACTAAATAAAATTCTGCAAGTTGAGTCACCTATTATGTATTTAGGGTCTCAGACTGAGATTTTGAAAAAATCTCAAAAGCACATAGGGAGTAATGTCAAAGAAGCAAGTTGGATGTGGATTTGCTGCATCAGCAGGATTCAAATACAAATTTGTTAAGATAGGTCATCTGTATGTTTGTATCTCATACCTTTCCAATAGTAAAAGTATGATGACACAGTAACAGGAATCAAACAGCTCTGCATGCATATGGTGACCAGCTAGTTTCTGTTGTAGGTAGGACCTTGAAAAAATAAACAATTTATATTAATATCATAAATGTCAATGTACAAATAACATTTATCACTTTACAAACATTTTAAATCCTTGAAAAATTAATCTAGAATCTTATAAAACATATTGAAATGATATGAAATTCCATGCGACTTTCCAGAGTAGTATCAGAATCCATCATTGATTTGATCTGCAATAAGCCCATGTCTGGTAATAAGCCCACCAAATTAAGATTGCTGTTTAGTACAATAACAAATTAATGAAATTCTGTTGGCTAATGATAATCTCATCCCCCTGATTTGGAGTAAGCAGCAAAGCATGGACTCCTCAGAGTTTCTGCAGAATATATATTATAGTAACAAATAAATGCATAATGCCAGAATGAGGTTGAAGAAAGGTTTTGTAATCCTCAACATCTCTGATGTGGAAAGGTGTGAATTATGATTTTAAGTACAAAAAAAAAAAAAATTCCAAATAATCAGCTACTCCAAATAAAGCTACAATATTTTGTATCAAAATAACACAAATAAAAAAAGAATGTATAAACTGACTTCAGAGGAGCAGTGATCTGCCAGGCATAGGGTCCATAGGTTGTCTCGTCACCAAGCTTGAAACCATCAATCCTGATCTTCTGTGGTTTCATGTGGCTGAAGCGGTCGTGAACGTGTCGTCTCACAGTTCGTACATCCTTTTCTTGACTGCGTGTAAAAGGGCGGTTTGTTTGGCTTTGAGCTGTAGCACGGCCATTTTTGGAGTTACCACCTTGAGACTTCCTAGATTTGCTGGCAGAAGCATGTGGAACTAAAACAAGTAAAGAATATTTTTTTCCTCAATTTTTATTCTAAAGAGAAAGAAAACTGATCAAGATAGCAATAAAAGGAGAGAGATTATAATAAAATAAGAGCAAAATTCTACAGAAATTAAAAGACTGAATTGGCCTGTCTTGTTTTCTTGTTTTTTAATATTTTTGCATTAACAAGAAGATTGGATATGTTTAAAATGTGCACTTAACAGTGTAAAGATCTGACTGTTTAATCGACAAGAAACAAACACTTTTGTCACTGAAGATTTTGGAATCAACATATAATAGATATCCTATTTTAAAGCAGATAAGGCCCCTTATTCTTGTGGAAATATATATTGCCCAAAAAAGGAAGGGGTACCCCTATTTCACCCCTGACCCCAAGGTACATTAGTGTCTGTATAGAAAAGAACATTTGGCATATTAGCTGTTTTTTCCCTCAGTTTTAAAAGACATATCAAAACATATTATACAACGTTCCATTCACACACATAAGTGATCAAACATGGCCTCCACTAAAATATCTTTTTTGAAGTATAGAGAAAATTGATTCAAAGACATTTTTTATAGACTCTCATATGCCAGGATCAGAACATACCTTTTACAAAAAATCTACTGGTTAATTAGATTTTGTTACCTATTGTTGGTATGTGTGAAAGTTTATGGTACCTGGGGCACGAGTCTCCGCCTTCTGGAAGGTATCAACCTGGGGCGAGAAGATAGAAAGGTAGGCCTCTGCATGGCTTCTGTTCAGGAAGACACCCTCGTGTAGTGAGGACATTGGATACTCGCAGAAACTTGACAAACTGAAAAACAGAGATAGATAACAGATATAAAGCTTCTAAAATATCTAGAAGTTACATGGGTAAATAAATTGTATATAACCAGTAATTCATATATATGTACTATATATATTTCTGAAAGAAAAGAAAGACATACCCAGTATCTATAAATATATTCACAAAATTTGCATTTGTGACCTTATCATTATCTTTTAAAAACTTTTTGGAGAATAAAAGCATCTTTTAAAAGACAACTAAATTATAATTAGTGAAAAAGGTCCTCCTCTGATACACATATTTTGTGTTAGTATGTAAACAGTGATGACTAATTTAAACAGTCAAAACACAAAATCAACTAATTACATGAACTGTTGAAATAACTAAGACTTGAGTACATGTGTACTAAACCTATGTGCTTCAATGTTTTCAACAGACTACAGATTACACGGTCTCAACTTGACACATCTATATTAATTTGGTGAAATATGGGCCTTAATTGACAGCATCTACTTTTAGAGCAGTGAATGAAATCTAAGCAAAGTAATTAATTAATTGGTTTATATAGTCAGCAAAATTTTAATGTTTGATTTAATCTCATTAAAATTTTAATTTAATTTCACATGAACAAGTGAATATAACTCTTGTGATACATGTACCAGTATAGGTATTTTTCAAAATTTCACACTTTTAATGGGGGGAACAAACACATGCACAACATTTATTAATAGGGTCATAACATAATATTGATGTTGTATAATAGAATATTTTTAATGGGTACATTATATATGTACAACTGTAAAACTATGGGAGATAAATGTTTAACTTTAATGGGTTATACATGTATATGTAACACTTTAATGGGGTAAAGATACAGAATATAACACTTCATGGAAGATAAACATTCAATTTTCTGAGAGATGCATACAACACTTAAAATGGAATATAAATAAACCATTTTAATGGGGGTACATATGTACAACTGTAAAACTTAATGATAAATATGTCAATGGATTGTACATGTACATCAAACACTTTTAATGGGTTAAAGATAAAATGCTTCATGAAAGAGAAATATTTCCTTTTAATTAGTTATATTTACAACACTATTGATGGGTATAATACAACATTTTTAATGCAGTACACATATGACATAATATGGGAGATAGATATTTACTTTCAATAGTTTTCATGCATTATGTTTAATGGGTATAAATATAACACAGTTAATTGTAATTAGTGAAACTTGTGAACCTACTACTATATATATGTTATTGCTATGTGATTTAAGAATCTAAAATCATACCTGGTCAATTATTACCTATTTAACCAACATTTAAGCTATTTATAGCCACAGAATGATGTATTGATATCAGGAGAATCAACAAATACTGTACACAAATCAAACTGAGACAACATACAGCACAACACTCTGAATTAATTGAAACATTCTGATTTTTAATCTATCAATACTATCTAGCTGATTGTGTACTTGTATAGCTTGTATTTTGAAACAGACAGAAAGCTTATTATAAAAAGCTACAATTGGATATGTTGTCATGTAACTTCACAAGCAATTCAACTACAACGTATGTCACATTAGTAAGATTAATAAGTAGGTGGCCATGTGGTGAAGCAGTAGTGCACCTGCCTTTCAACTACTCGTCTGGGGTTAAACTGGGTGTAAAAAGGTAAGGCAACACCTGCTCCACCATGGGGGTTTTCCCCGGGTTCTCATGTTTCCTCCTTCAATAAGGCCCCTCGCTAGCTTACATTCGAACCAACCAGAGTAAAGCAAACATAAAATTATACCTAATATGTTGTACAATTCAATCTCATTTCAAAAGCTTTTAAACTGTATTTGCATGTAGTAACATGTTTTATTGTAAATTATGTTTAATTAATGTTCTGCCTTTGGTTTGGCAAGTACGGCATATTTCTCACTCACTTTGCTAAAAAATTTTATTATGCTCATTCTTATACACATTTATTCTAAAATCTCCTGTAAAAATAAACAACCTGCCCATTCTATTTGGGTTGTTTCAAGATTTTACAGCTAATTTGATTGTTTGGTAATTAGTATTACCAAGTTTTTTAATTACATTTTGTATATATATTTTTGTACAGTACAGTATTACATTCTACAGAATGTTTGTATCAACTTATGTTAATAAGCTGTTTGCTGATTGGTCAAGACATTCTGACCCTTGTGGCGCCAAGGTGATACCCATAGCAAATTCCATAGCTTATGACTGGTCAACAAGTCAGCTTCATCCTTGCTGTGCTAAATCATCCCCACCACAGAATTCTTTTCAAACAAGCAAAATGCCACTTAGAAATTTTATTTTTCTTGTTTTTATTCCTTGTTTTAGAGAATTTTTGGTAGTTTTGAAATGTAAATTTGAAAAAGAAATCCCTAAAAGTTCTCTTAAAACAGAGAATAAAAACCCCAAAAGAATAAAACTTTCAAATCGGCATCTTTCTATACAACTAAGATTTTTTTATGACTATTCTAGCAAGTACCTGACCAGGCATGATTTTTTCTAATAATGTTAAAAAATAAACATGAACAATTTGGCTACCCAGACTCATTGCTTGTTCTGCTCGCAACGTTGTCGTTCAATCCGTTCCTGTTAGAAATACAAGTGCATTTACACAAGTCAGTAGTTTGTGAGTTACACTTCTCAGTTATTGGAATAAACATGAAACATAAAAATTTGAAAGAAAAAAAATTATAAGTCACTTAATGATGAGTAATTATTTCTGATGCTCCTGAAATTCTGGTAAATAATGCTTTGCCAACTCTTTCCCTGAAATTGTTGTTTATTTTCATTTCATTTTAGTAACATTTCCTTCCCTGTATGTAAATGAAATGAGTACCTGATAGTTAATGCTTTAAAGAGAAAGAAAAAGTAAAAATGAAAAAAAAATGACCATAACACAATAAGAAACAAAAAGATACTTTTTTCATCATTACGACTTTATCATGAATGAAAGCTTAATAATAAGAATAAATTAAAAATACAAAGATGTCACAATGATGGTCAGGCTTTTAACACACTCCTTTGGCTTAATTCTAAAGCAAATATTTTTTTAAAACAAATTTTGTAATAATATTTAGATAGATTAAAAAACATCAAACCAGTTACAGAACCACAATTCAATGCATAAGCATCCAAAAAGTCTGTTTAGAGAAAAAAAAAGGTAATAAAAATCTATTTTTCACCAATAGTATTTACTGTTATTGCCAGACCTAGAACTCATGCTTGTGTTCAAAGTCTTTTTCTAATAAGAAATTATCTCGTATTATCAAATTTTTTTCATTCTATTGAATCTGAAGTACTGTAAAGATACTGTAAAAAATTTTGAGGGTTCATATTTTCATGGATTTATCAAAAAATTTTAAATAAAATTTTCACATTTTTACTGAATGTTTTAACCATAATAAAGATGTTTTATCAAATGATTTATAAAGTGGACAATTCATTTCTCTTTATTTTTTTTAACAAACTTGTTTTATGCAATTTATGACTTAAAATGATAAGTCCCTCATTCCCTCATGAAATAAACATTGATATACATATAACAACATAATCATCATTATAATGAAGTAATTTATTGAAGAGTTATCTCCCCTGTAGTTACCTACCCTTCATTGGCACCTGCTGTCAAGGAGAGTGAAATAAAGTTAAGACCAAACTGGACCTGTCCTCTGGTATATGTTACTACATCAGGATCAACTCGAAAGATACACTGCAGAAAAAAAATCTAAATCATACATTGTGTATTTCTACCAGATGAATGAAGTTGCTTGAGTAGCAATATTATCTGAAGTGGTAAATGAATTTCTAAAACTAGCAATGATTTTTGTGACCTCGGAACACTGATATATGAGTTCATGGTCCATTGAAAACTTTAATTATATATCGTAAGCAAATTGACAGACAAAGCTTAGCTCTTGGGAAAAAGTTCTGTTTTCTTTATGAATCCCAAAATATAATATTGTTTATTGTCTGTTTTGGTCACTTTGATCAGGAAACACTTTATCAATAACAAACAAATTACTTGAATTACTTACATCCATGTAGATATACTTATTGGATAGGACCGTATCACTCATAGCCTGTAGAAATATCTCCTACAATAAACATAAATCAAGGTCACATGACAGAGTACATACACCAATCACTGTCCTTCTTACAGACTTATACCTCTGTGGTACTTCGAGATCAAGACTAATCCTTCACCTCATTCATCTTAATTACCTCAATTTTTTGACAGACTTTTTAACTGATCCAGTTGTACTCAATGAACTTTGACCTCTATGACAATAGATTATAAACATTTAATGAGACATCAAATTAATTCTTCTGCTAATATCTTCTGTTTTTTCTGATAACATGTTTTTCCTGTGATAAACCCTTGGGGCCAACACATAATCTAGTGGAATTGGCTTATCACATATCTATACCATTTATCATTATTTCTTCTAAAATTGCAACAGAAGTGAACAAATTTAATGAGCTATGAATATGTATTGATAAATATGGTACTCTGAGAGAAAGCTGACCTTTTCCTGTTGGATGCGGTCAGGATCCCAGAAATCCATTATGGTGACTTGGGGGGAGTTGTTATTCGCTAATGGAAGGTTCACTCCAAGGATCAAATGACGAGGATTTGAGTACATTCCATCAATCTCGGACATCACAGAGTTAACAAATATAGACACACCCTGTTGTACAAACATATCAAATGCTGTTAACTCACAGTGCAGCTCTTGGATGATGTGGGGGCTGAGTATGACTAAAAATGGTACATTAAACAGAGTTGTCTCCCTTCCCTTACTAATGATAATTGTATGGTTCTTAAACTGAAAAATACTCCTGTGGAGAAAAAGTCTGGCTCAACTCATCTCTTTGAACCTTTTATCAAGCAGCTTGGTTTAGAATAAGGACTTATTCTAATGATGTAAGTTTGGGGCACTCAGCTCAATCATATACACATATACTTGACCTGAGTTTTGGCAAATTTCAATTTTATAATTAGTAAGAGTTAGATTATAATTATAAATTTCAAGCCCCAAAAAATTAGTTAGAGGTTTTTTGTATTTGGATGTATTGTCAAAACACAAATGCTTATCAAATTAGGTGATAGTATATTTCATAACAGATAATCTTCCATGTTAAGCTTGTTAAGGTCAAATTAGGTAATACATATTGATTGTATAAATGACATCAACCCAAGTTGGGACATTATCTGTGTTAGATTTGCAAACAGCTGAGTTGCCCCTAATGCCAAACTTTGTTTGTAAAAAATTATGTTTTCTTTTATATGAGTTTACAATAAATACGTTTGTATGTGTTGTACATAAGTCTTGCGTTTTCATTTGGGCTGTTTAAATACAAGAATATCCATTTTTATTCATATAAGGAATTGTTCACGTTCAAATGAATATAGCTTGAAAAATAAATTTTGGAATTAGATATTTTGACTTATAATGCAAATATTCTCTTACTAGAAGAGCATTTTTGTATATAGATATATAACAGGGCTATACACAGGCATGACAACACACTATTTAATGCAGACAAAATACTCTATGAATATATAAAGAAAGTCTGGTGAAATGCTTAGTTTTAAGAGTTTCTGACCACTGACATGCTAAAAACTTAATGTGTAACTATATACTAGTGTACCCACCATTTTGACATCTTCACCTGTGATTAAAAACTCTTTACGCATCTGAAGATTGTAGACTTGTTGGTAGAATGTGCCTTCAAACACACACGGTCCAACCAAAGCTACGGTCACCTGGTTCTGTAACCATGGCAATCACATATTTAGCCTAAAGCATTCAAATGTACTGGGTAAGTGCATTTCATAACTGTTCTTAAATGGCCAGAATTAACAAAATATTCCTAGTAATGCATCCACATCATCTGGCTTTCTATCTTTGACTGCAGATCAAGTGAAAACTTGTATAAAGCGAAACAAGAAAACTATTACAGGTGATATCATGAAAAGTGAAGGAAAACTTTCACAATCAATTTCATAGCTTATTGATATCATTTTGAAAAAACTGAATTTACATAATATTTTAAGATCAAAATGATTTTGCACTTATATTATGACCTTTGACCTGATACTTGTTTTATGACTTATTGACCTATTGACCCTTTACCGTGTAGCCGGGTTCGGAAAAGAGGTCCTCAGCCTCAGGTGTCATATTGTCCACCAGCCATTTGAAGCGAGAGAGACGCTGAGGGCTGACAACACGCAGAATACTCGGCAGACCCCAAATGGTGTCATAACCTCGCACAAAAAACAGATTCTGCATTATTGACTCTTGAAGATTGTTCTCTGGGGGAAAGAAAAAAATTATATACCTGTGATTTGAACACTACTTGATTATTCATTTTGATAAAGCAACATGGCAGTCATTGGAACTACTTTTTCTATGGTGATTTGGAATTCCTCCACAAAAGTACATCAGGTAATATGTGTGTCTGTTAAAGTCAACAAGAGATAGTTATACTTTTTATATATTTTTTGAATAATAGATTTTTTTTATATTTGTTATAAAATAAATCCAGTTTTGATTTATAGATCAGAGGACTTCTTTGTCAAAGAACCACCAGTGTTTGGAAATCACCTGTGTTAAGAGATCACCTTTGTCAAGGAACTACCTATATCAAGGGACCCCGCAGTGTTGAGGAATCACCTGTGCCAAGAGACCACTTTCAGAACACCATATTGCAATTCTTTTCATGTTATTCAAATATTTAGAGAATAAAATTTCACCTTCTCAAGGAGAGCACTTCCCAACTGGGTATCTCAGAATAGAACCTGACTAAATCTTAACTGAGAAGGACAAAGAATGTCAGTTAAGTCCGGGGTCAAATATTTATTTCACAAAAGAACAGACATGATAAACGTACTCCCACATAAGGTTATAAACTATGATTAACAACAGTAAGTATGGATACATACGTAACAGTTGGTGAATTTTTCCTTCAGGAATCTGATCCAGATGAAACCTAATGAAAAAAAAAATCACTGGTAAAATAAACAATTGTCTTGATTGTTTTGAAAACCTGTCATTTTTTTAACTTTTTTTTACACAACCTTAAAACTTTCTTTATAAAATCTACTAAAATATAATTGTTATATTCTAACATTGTACCTGTACATGAAATGCTAGATATCTCATTTGATCCATGTATTGTGAAACCAGAAGATGTTTGATTTATAAAATCTTTGTCTATAAATATCACAATATAAACTATTCAGTATTGTACATGTTGAGTGAAAAAAAAACATATTTTAAATTTAAAGTTCTGTTGGTTACTATGGTAATTCACTGCATTCACTCAGCACAATCTTAATTACTATTTTGCTTGGCTTTTTATGAAAACTGATAGTGTCACCAAAATCTACAGGTCACTAACTTGTCTTTATATCAATTAAAATTTCACTATTTTGCACTAAAATAAGAAGGCAATCTTGTTGTAAATATTTCCTCTAAAACATATTCATACACTGTATCAATTCATATAATCAACATTGAAATGTTAAAAACATTGCAGAACTCAAATGGGACATACACATAGGTTATAAAATGTCTACTGCATTTCCAATCAAACTATATTAGACAGATAAGCACCTAGTCACAGACAAAAGCACAATACATAATTCATTTTTGTGGTTAAAATAGTAATATTATTAGCAGTAACTTCCTCACTTAAAATAAAAAGCTGTTTAATGTTAGGTAATTCATTTATCAGTTATTTCAATTCACACAGAGACGTGACATGGAGATCATACCAGAAAACTGAAAAATAAAAAATGGTGTTGAAACCCTCGCAAAGGGGGACAACTCTTGTTAGGTGCTGAAAGAAATTGTATAAACATTTTAAGAATAATATATACAATCATACATACAGAAGAGGATAGAATGTTATGATATAAAAGCTTGTAAAACAGAGCAGATATCATATCTTTATAATGCATGATCCATGAACTAGGCATTTTTTCACTTCAATAAGCATACTGAGTGTTGTTGAAACATCAATATAGGTACATGTCTCCTTACAGTACAATAACCGGACCAAACAACCCTGAATTCAAACTTGTCCAAGATATTTAGATGCTTAAAAAGTGTATGAATCCCTCAGGGAATGAATCTGTTAGAGTGCTGACAATGATTTTCTAAAAAAGTAGTTTAGTAACCTTGACCAAATAACCCTGAAAAATAAACTTGTCCAAGATATTTTGATACTTTGTACATGTGCTAACTTTAATAAGATTTCCTCACAGATGGATGGAAGGACAGAAACTGAAGTCTCACCATGTATTCACTACCAAATGAGAAATTAAGGCTCTAGCAAACTTTAACAAAATATTTGTGATGAGTTTCAAAATTTATCACATAATGAGGAGAAAATTACAATTCTAAAAAGGTTAAAAAATGCTTTTCACATTACAGATGATATTCTGACTCTATAAATATTAATTATTTCATTGTAATATAATAAATTGTAAATATCATATCATATATCATTCCATTACGTATAACATGCCTGAGTCTATATGCAAAAATACAACAAGGGTATCTTTACTCAAAATTATGTGATACATTGAAAAAATTATTTTAATCACAATTCATTCACAAGGGGAATAACTCCTGTTTTGTTTCATTTTTCATTTAATCTGTGAATGCCTTCTTGACTGCACTCATTGGAGAACTTGACTGAAATTGTGTGTACAAAGAGAAAATGGAGGAAGAGAGCAATTGGATATATTTGTGGCTTTTCTTAATCCTGAGATTTTATTTGGCCACTCCCCCACCCCTCCCACTCACACATTGTTGGAAAATACAGACACTGCAGTTTACCAAATTGACTATAACAACTGAAAAATCCTTGATATATGGAGAATTACATTCATCTTGGAAAGCACCATTTGCTATATTCTGTAAACTTCTGCTGGTGAATAGGACAAAAAATGTAGATAAAATATCTATATAGAAGTTCCCATATCAAATCTGTATATGATGAAATTTAAAGCATGAAGGAAGTAGAAAAATGACAAACAAAAAAAAAAGATATACATATATAGATATATGTATATAACTAAACGATAATGATACAAAATAGTTATAGACATGGAACCATGTTACACTGCTACCCTTTAAAGAAACTTTGGCATTAGGAAAGATTTAATTAACATAGAAATATTTGACGAGTTCGATAAAATACCGGTGTACAAAGTATGTAAATATGGGGAAAAAAACAAGATACCAAGGGCCTTAATAACTAACAGGCCATGAGTTAATAGTTTTAATTTGGCAAAAGACTATATAAAGAACCTTCCTACACCTTCTGTAGGATTGAGTTTTCTGAAAGCTGAAATTTAACAACTCCCTCTTACGAAACATTCAAATTCCAGTCCTCAAAAGCAGACAAAAAAAATGTATTTGCATAGCTTTGGCTGTAATCGTGTCATCCAATCAGCAGGAGAAATGTTTACGAAGAAACGGACGACGACAGATGCTGAACCATAGAGAAATTAATACAGGACAGAAGTAGTGCTACGGGAATCATTATAAAGCTCACCAGTCCTAAAGACCACGAGAGGTAACTGGTACAGGAAGTAGTCAATGAAAATACAGTTATATACTGAACAAAGGTTTTCGTGTTTTGTGCTGATTAATGGTGTCTTTCTAAGTACCTGGTACAACTGATTATTTCTTTTTCCTGATAAGAATAATTAAAGCACAAAAATTTTAAGCTTTCTCTGAATATATTATCATTTACATATATTACTGTATACACATGTAGTATTGAACATATTTCTTAAAATCTAGCACTACAAATATGTTATGCTGCATACATAATAGTGTTCCTCACAGTTCCAGTTTCATGCAAAGAGAGTGACTGAATTAACAGCAATTTTAAATTCAATCAAGACTTTTCTATGTTTGCAGATAGGTTATGAGGATTCAAATTTCCTGTTTTGTTTATAAATTTCATAAAGAACGAATAATATCAATGACCTGATCCATTCTTTGACCCAACACCACTACTCAGCACTTGGTGGTTTAGGTGTGCAGTAAGGGAGGATAGTAAGAATGTGGTTTGTGTACATATTATACTCACGACTCTGCATTCTGTCTGAAACGCTGAACAAAGCCAGGATAGGGGTTGTAAGGGAGTTCAGGTCTGTCTAGTAACAGGGTCAGTAGTCTTTGAAACGATTCAACAAGTTCTGTCTCTTCCAGGTAGTCACGGAAACGCTGCATTGTCAAAGTATCATAACCCAAGGGTGGATTGTACAAATCACGCAAAACAGTTGAACCCTGGAGAAATGCAACAAAATTTGTTTGTACCAGTCTTGTTATCACAAGAGTTATCTGCCCTTCCCCCTACCCCACAAACCCCACCCTCACCCTCATCTTCATTTCAGTAGTTAATTACCTCTATAAGTAAAGATGGCTCCTGTCAGGATGACAATTTCTCCCCAATCTTATGTCACTTGTCAGAAAGATAAAATCCCAATGAGATGACATTATTTTGTTTATGTGTAAACAATCATGGCAGTAATGCAGGGAATCAAGAATTTTTTTTGATATTGACACAAAGGCTTATTAAACAGACCCATCATATTTCATACCTATCAAATAAAGTTAGTTTGCAAGATCATTTGATTGTATTTGAAAGAATAAGAGAATTATGTTTTGTCATGCAATAATTCATGCTTAAAATTTAACTGCTACTTCGTGTTTTTAATTTCTTTAAATGAAACTTAAAAGATTTACATATATAATGATCAAAAATCACATTTTGAGCAATTTGGAAATAATGTCACCTAACTTAATGTTTGAATGGCTGTGGATACATCACATCAGAATAATAAATGAAGTCCTAACTGATGCTGCCTTGTCTTCTTGTTATTAAATTTCACTATACTCCATTATGTCAATAACAAGAGATATCACCCCTGACTTACCGTGGTGTAGACGGAGACTGTGTCCCGGACAGATCCAGCTCGGTCTGGTGGAGGTCTTTGACGAAGTCCATCGATAGCAGCTAGTTTGTACTTTGCTTTCTGTGAGTATGAACAATCACAAGTTTTATGAGCTATGACCCCTAATGTTTGGCATGTGAGTTGGTTATTAATCCAGTATATCTATTCTATGATAAAGCAGCTATATTTTTTTCTTTTATAGAAATATGGCAATTGAATGGTTTAATGATAATGAATTTGTCAAGTAGTTTACAATACATTTGTCAAGTAATTTACAATTGACAAAGATGTTGATTTCATATCCTTGATACAAACAACAAACAGTATTTAAAAGGAAGTTATAATTGTTCTATTCTGCACCTGTAGTATTTAATTATCATAAAAAATGAAATATTCTAGACGTCTTTCTCACGGGAAAAAAAATCTTACCTTCTTCTAAATAAATTCATAAAAATCCATCATAGAGAAATGATGAAACCAGAGTTAAAAATAAAAATTACATAAAAGAGACTGTTTGTCTGAGAAAGCCACAGGAACTTGGATCTAATTTGTATATATAATTATAAAAAAGGGTAAGGAGTCAATCACAACAAACTCAAGCGTCGCCGTTTTATCATTATAAAATGTTTATATTTGGAAATTTTTGCCAAGTCAACAGTGATATATATTTTATATGTTTGTGGTCTTCTTGCAGGAAAATGAAACATATTTGTTTTTTCTTTATTCTATTGAACAACAAATTTGTTGCAGTTTATGTAAATGGGCTTTTTACCAGGTACAGATTTATTGCTGAATAGAAACCATAACATATGTCTAAAATTAGGGATGGGCTTATTACAGGACAATGAAACAGCATTTGCTGGCATTTCTGCAGAACTAGGCCAATAGTTAAATAAGCTTAGAAAGAGATAAAGAAGCCATTCTTTTGCAAGGTAAATCCAGTGATAGACAGCAACAAATTCAACGACACATCAATATGTATTAATTTCATACTTATGCCACAAAAAGCCATGCGAAGAATATGTATAAGCTCTTACACATATGAGATAGACATGGCCTTTTAATTCCAGGATAATCAATCAATACTTATTGGTTATACTGTTGTAAAGGTCATATGGCTTGGCTTATTACCAGACACGGGCTTATTGCTGATACTTATATGGTATACATGTATATCATTAAAAAGGTGCCGATTTCTTCATCATATTTTCATGTTTCTCCATGGCAAGGTCAGGAATAAAATTGTTGATATATACCAATACTTGTTCCATGCTTGAGTGATGTTTTTTTATATTACTAAAAATCAATAAAGGTATGAAAACATCTTTAGAATAATTCACAAATCAATAAAATATTTAGGGAAGCTCTGGAATTGTTGGGATTTCAAAGCCCAAAGCAATTCTCAGAGAAATCGGTCAAAAACATATTGAGATCACAAGACAATCATGATACAGATTATTCCTTTCAAACTCATCACAGTAAAAGGAGCTTAACAAAGAAAACACAACTGAATTCTTGAAAAGATGTTAAAGCCCAGTATTAAAGAGATGGTCAAAAACTGAGAACCATCAGAGGGCAATATTCAAAAGCTGAAAAAAAATAATAAAAAGACAATTTAATAACTTGTTCAAAAATTATCAAATCAAAATTCTGCTTATGAAAGTCCAGCTACAATGTACATGATAATACAGTGTCACTAAGATTGATCGAAAGTTGAAAATGGAGATCACTTGAGAATGTAAATGAAGTGTTTAATGATGAAAGCATTTCATGTGATGAGTGGATAAGAAATAGGTGACTGAAGAAAAAAAGAACAGATGTTTGAATATGTGAAAAAGATAAAAAAAAAGGTACTGAAAGCCAAAAGTTTTGCTCTGTAATGGGTCTGCTAGCAATTATGACACACCTGTATACAATTCACATGAACATATATAAAGAATAATTAAAGTTTTTATTTTTTGATAAAAATCAGCTACTTTTTAAAAATTATTTTTGTAGGATTCAAAATTCATGAAACTGAATAGAAACAAGATATTATAAGTATCTACCATGATTGAAGTACATTTTTGGGAGCCCAGTTTGGTCAAATTGTCTCTATGGGATATCATTTCTTTTTTTCTGTCATTTTTAAAGTTAATACCTTCAACAATAAATAATCAATGAATCATGTTACATCTTAATGCAACTCAATTAGCACCAAGATTTTTACAGCCTTCTGAGATGATGTCAATTCTAATATTATTTAGCAACATGTTTCCTGAACTGAACAACATATTTCCTTAATTTAGCAACATGTTTCCTTAATGTAGCAATATATTTCCTGAACTGAACAACATATTTCTTCAATTTAGCAACATGTTTCCGAGTTACCCTGGTAAGGTAAATATATTCATTGTTTTCCCATTTATATGTACGTATGTTTACTAGATATTACACTAACAAAACATGACACAGCTCACAGTTCAATGTGAGGTCAGGAAATAGAGCTTTTGTTTACATAGATGTGATTTAAAAATAGCTCTTAAGTGACATAAGATGATTTCTTTTGGTTTCCTGGTCACTTACAAGAAATTCCAGTAAGAAATTATTTATAGATCAAAACAGGGGGAAAAAGAAGCAATGACAACCATTTTTGCATTTTGCATGTCCATTGTGACAATATCTTTATTTTGCTTTGAAAGTTTCTTTATTCCAATTAATTTTAACATAAATACATGTTTGTAAACATGTACATAATGTGTTATACATGTGGAGGGCAGTTCTCATGAGCCCTGACCATCATCTATAAGATGCCATTCTATATTCAACAAAAACATCTAGAAAGTCTGATGTCAGCCATCATTTCACCATCATAAAAACAACCATAGAAGCGTCAGATTGACATATAACTATGACTTCACAATCCAGAGCAAAAGATTATTTTACATTAATTTCAATTCCACTTCACTTTTTTTTCTGTAATCACACTATCTTTGACTTAAGTACCATATGAACAATTATTGTTGGCTAAGTTTAGTTGTTGTTTGAAGTTTAATACATATGTACTATCTTGATTAAGAACATGGAAACATTTTTTCAGGTAAGAAAATATTTTGCTCAAGTCTTTGCTTAAAACTCAATAATACATGTACATGTAGGAAAAAGAGCAAAGGAATCAATATATTAAGTTGCAAAGAAGCATCTTTTTGTCACAGAAATAAATTTCAAAATTTTATACTAAGATAATTGAAATTTGTATAATCTTTTTATATATGTATTGCTGTGGAATTTTTCCCCCACCCCCCCCCCAAAAAAAAAAAAAAAAAAACAAAAAACAAAACTTTTAAGAGGCTTTTATTTAAAAATGAACCTGATTTTGAAATTCTTTAAAATCAAAATTAATTTTGGAATCCAGGGATGATTTTTTTAGTTTAAAATATGAAATGGATGGCAGCAGAAAGTTCTTTCACTTCATCTAAATAAAGATTCTGAACCTACATTTTAACATTTATCATTTGATGGTTTGATAGGAGTTTGAAATTTATTTCATGTGACTTATCAAACAAGTACAGCCCAAAAAAACACCCTTTTAGAATAAGAATATAACCAAATATTGGTAATAAGTCAGATTTTTGTAACAAATACCTGTAGTTTCCTGTCAGCACGTGTTGTCTGAAAAATTTCAATTATGATAAACCTGAACTTATTTACATTTCAGATTTGATAAAAAAAATGTACATGTGTAGTTACATGTAAAAACTTACCCTCTAAATAAATACTACTCTATGTTAACATTGATTGCAGACTCTCTCTCCAACTAGATCACTTTTCTATTTTCTTTCTATCATGTCGCCCTTCCTCTCTCTCTCTCTCTCTCTCTCTCTCTCTCTCTCTCTCTCTCTCTCTCTCTCTCTCTCTCTCTCTCCCCTCCCTCCCTCTCTCTCTCTCTCTCTCTCTCTCTCTCTCTCTCTCTCTCTCTCTCTCTCTCTCTCTCTCTCTCTCTCTCTTTCACTAAATATTTTTCTACATTGTATCTATATCTAGCTGTCTATCTAAGTATCTACATTCACATTTGTGTACATCTACAGTTTCTATCTTAACTTTAGTACATGTACATTAATTTTGCATCTATTGAAAAAAATGAAATTCGTTTATCTATTTTGTTATACATTACCTTCCATTTTGATGCCCCTGTCCGAGAAGACTGTCGAGACATTTCTGGTTCGGACTGTACAGCCCAATAACGGCTAAAAGCTACAAATATCCACTAAATTTGCTCAATTGCTAATATGGTGAAACGGAATAAAGAATCAGTACAAATCAAGGAACAGTGACTTTAACAACATTCTGGACAAAAAAAAATCGTCGTACTCTGCTTTTCAGTGTTTTATCTTGCATACACAGCCAAGGAAGACATATTTTAGTAGCCTAACGATCTTGATCGTATCGCACACTTCAAGCATGTGCTCGTATCAAATGTAAACAATAATGGCGGGGTGGCAACTCAATGTGTGTAGTATTATCGGCTTTCAAACCTAAATCGATGCGGTTCCTCAAAAACAATTCAAGAAATAAGATTAATTTAAAAGTAAATCAATTTAGTATGACACTTGTCAATTTTCTGCTAAGCTTTATTTCTAAGTAATATATTCAATTTTTTTCTTAATTTTCGATACGGACAAATGACGTAGACAGTACGAGTTGAGCGAGTGCCTATCAGGCTGGGCGTCTATTTGGTGCCAGGTCTAGCAAGCGTCTCTGCGTCTATGACTCCTCTTCAAAGCGCTTGAGTGAACTTTCACTTTCACAAGTTTGGGTTTGGTGGAAGTATGAAGTCTCTCTGAGGTGAGTTAAACGTGTTGAAACATTATGTAAACCTGTTTATATCGGTTAGCTTATATCAAAGACCTAATGTACTTACAAACCACTGGGATTCAGTACAACGACTCCGCATTGTCTCTCAAGTCCAAACATTAAGATTTTTGATATTTGAACATACACAACTCAGCGTTACTTATCTAGATAAGTCTCGTGATTCGTTATTTTTGACAACGGAGGGATGGTGTATATTAAATGTATATTTCGACCCTGAAGTTATAACTTTTGGTGTTAAATCTCGACATTGACAAAGAAACATTTGTAAGCCTACGTTAATGAATTAAGGTAAAAATACATTGGAGAACTTAATTAGTCAGCTCACAACCCAGTATAATTTTAGGGACCCCATTGGAAACAAGCTTTTATAGGTTTGATGGGTCATCCCAGGCAAAGTGACAACTATGAGCATAAGCACTATAACACTATTATCTTGTATCTTATAATATAAATGTATATATATAATCACTTTGCAACTATACATATACAATGCAGGTACGCTTATATGTTGTACTGTACTGTTTTTTTCCCTGATTACATATTATCATTATTATTATTGTCTGCTCAAGTATCATCTAGACATCTGTTCTGGACAGTTACTTATTTCGGAATGGCCATTTTGTAGAGCCGTATCACATAAACTATTGACTGTTGTGACGTTGCACCCAGAAAATTTTGGTTGTTGTAACATGTCTGTTGTCACACTTCCAAAAAGAATACAGATTTGTGATTTAAACCATTCACCTTAAAATATTATGAGTTGCATAGTTCGTTTGCAAATTCCTGTGTTTTTCTTTAACACACATTTTTACATGTCAAACATTCTCTTAGATATGATGAAATCACCTATCAATTCATCCTCATATGCCTATGTTTTGTAGTCTGTGTGAATAAAAATCGACCATGAATAACAGGCTACACAATTTTTTGACTACAGAAGTCCAGACTTGCATGTCTTATACGGAAAAATGATGATTTATAAATTATTATATTAATTAATTATTATAAATCAAACTTATGTAAATAGTTTGTGTGATATAAAAGCAGTTTACCAAGAAATATTGCTCATTCGAGAAAAATAGGATCAAACAATACAACCTTGAATCAAACTGTTTAGAATAGGTGCACACATTAACACAGATATCCACTACTATTGCACAATGAATGTGTTTTGATTTTTGTTTTCCCATCAACATATCATTCCTGTTCAATGTTCTTGGTCACACTAAGCTAACTCAAGCGTCTCTGTGATTTAGTGATGTCATCAGAAATGGATGTGTAGTCACATGTCTGAATGTCCGGTACACATTTCGATAATTTCAGATGGACGAATTAGAGGTCGTATATGTGGATAATTTTTTTTAGAAAAATACTGCTCTTTCACTGACCAATTTTTAAATAAATCTTATAGTATGAACATACACATTTCAAGTCATTCATGGGGAGTGACTCTGACAGGAACAAGTTACACTGACCTGCTCTTTTTACATTCATTTTACATTCATATCAGGTTAAGCAATCATTACACTAATATACACCTGTATGTATTAGTCAAGATCACAATCAGTTGGTCTACACAGTGAAAGAAGTTATCACTATTGCAAACTTGCCACAGTGTTAGAACAATTAATTTTATCTTGTTGGAACTGTTCTGAATTTGATCAACAGATAATAATATTTTTGTTTAATTTTTTACATGTATATGATTCACTATTAAATATGATGATATCAAACTGTCATTACTTCATGGAAAATTGACAAATATTAGTAAATCTGGAACTGTGTGGTCATCTGTATCATACTCTAAATCCCTACAACATAGTACACTAACTCAAAATATCATATTAAACAGTATGTATGCTCAGTACAACCAACTAATCTGCATTGAGTTTACAAGAATAAGAATAAACAGGCCAACTGTATTAAAACATTTAATTGGGACATTTCATCATCTCGAACATTGGGCTGATGCATGTGGTGGTTCTATAACACGAAACATTTTTAATTTACCATGGCTCACATTTTGAAACAAATGTTTAGAAAACAATTACAATCTTGCAACATTTTAATTCAAAACAATGTTAATTTGTTGATAATTAAACTGCTTAAGTCCAACTGAAGTATTTCATTTCACCTTCTCAAAATATTGTATCACATTAAGCTGAATTTCCTTGGGAAAAAGAGTACTAATGGAATTAGCAGTATTTAATGTAAGTGAGAGTGATCAATAAACATTTGCCTTGAATAGATTAGATTTAGAAATTTTAACCCTTGAGGTGAGTTTATTTATGGAGAGATTTTTATATTTTTGTCTTCATTACACAGAGATGCTAGAAATATTTTGCTATCTCTTTGATAAAACTCACAGATGGATTTTCATTTTTATTGCAGGTTGCTATGGTTTGTTACTGTCTGTAAATCAGTTCCACATAAGTCTGATCATGTCTCAACCGAAACAAGGACTTCAGAAACAAAAATGGAAGGTAAATTCTCACATGTTGTCATTACTGATAGAATTATTATTTGTCTTTGATTTTTTTCTTAAATTTTGTTGTTCTTTTCATAAATGTGCCACAGTGCTTAGTGCTAAGACTTGTATGAGATGCTTACAAACAAAAGCCATGATTTATGTTAAGTTTGGGTTTGTATAGATAGAATAAGATATATATTGTTTAATATCCTGAAAATCACCATTTTTGATATTTGCTTTCGACAAACCCTTTAACACACTGCTTCATGTTTTGATAAATAATGAGAAATAGATATATATCAAACAAAGCACTTCATTTTGGTTTATTGAAGATATTGCTTTTTATTCAATGGTTACTTAACATTCATGATTTATAAAACTCTAAAAAATGTATCATTAAGACTAAAATATTTTGAATAAGGTCTGAGCCATTTGTGTTCAGACAAACAATATTGTATCATCCATGATCTGAGTAGCTATATATGTTTCATGGTTTGTACAATCCAGCCATCTGAATTAGTTCAGCATTCTCTCCTGAAAGGTACATATAATCCAGTCACCTTCATTCCCAGTAGATAATCCATTCATTCCCAGTAGATAATCCAGTCACCTTCATTCCCAGTAGATAATCCAGTCTACTTCATTGCCAGTAAATAATCCAGTTGCTTTCATTCCCAGTAGATAATCCAGTCACCTTCTTTCCCAGTAGATAATCCAGTCACCTTCATTCCCAGTAGATAATCCATTCACCTTCATTCCCAGTAGATAATCCAGTCACCTTCATTTCCAGTAGATAATCCAGTCACCTTTATTACCAGTAGATAACCCATTCACCTTCATTCCCAGTAGATAATCCAGTCACCTTCATTCCCAGTAGATAATCCAGTCACCTTTATTACCAGTAGATAATCCATTCACCTTCATTCCCAGTAGATAATCCAGTCACCTTCATTTCCAGTAGATAATCCAGTCACCTTTATTACCAGTAGATAATCCATTCACCTTCATTCCCAGTAGCTAATCCAGTCACCTTCATTCCCAGTAGATAATCCAGTCACCTTCATTCCCAGTAGATAATCCAGTCTACTTCATTGCCAGTAAATAATCCAGTTGCTTTCATTCCCAGTAGATAATCCAGTCACCTTCTTTCCCAGTAGATAATCCAGTCACCTTCATTCCCAATAGATAATCCAGTCTACTTCATTACCAATAAATAATCCAGTTGCCTTCATTCCCAGTAGATAATCTAGTCACCTTCATTCCCAGTAGATAATCCAGCCACCTTCATTCCAAATATGTCATACATTCCTTTTTATTTCCTCTTTGCAATTAAAGCTGATCCTTGCGCTGATACTGGATACAAAACTGTGATAATAGTTGAATTGATGGTGACATCAATAACTGAATTTACTCTATATTGCAGAAAGCAGTGTACAAATTATCAGCAGTGACTGGTTTGCAGAGACGGAAACCACCAACACGGTCTTCAGGGACATCAAGATCGGGTCTAAGGACAGCTGGTCAAGCAGGACCAGGGTCGCAATTGTTGTTTCGTGACACTGCATCTATTCATACCTCAGTAAGGCTTCACACTTTTGAAATATGTAGTTGTAAATTTTAAGGAACCAGATACTGAACTGACAACTGCACCAAAGTTTAAGCTAAAGTATACAATACAGTAAGGTGGTAAAATATGTAAAATCTCCTTGTAATGAACCAATATTCTTGAGTTTAATTATTTGTGCACAAACATTATTTTAATGTTTATAAGTTCAGTTATTAAAATTTGCCATGTCCTGTGAAGTAGAGTTCTACATCTGTATCTGAACAAACATTGTAATTCATTTTTGCTATGATAGATATTTTGGGGC